GGTGCGTTTTGCTCGCAGGACGTGGAGGGGATGATGTCCATTTCAGTCGAAGCTGCAGAGCATCGCTCAACGACGACAGGGAACTCGTGACGACTTAACTCTCAGCTCCTACTCGTTGCTAACAACGTTACTTTCGTTCGAGTGGTGGAGATGAGTGCCGGTCCAGCTCCCTCGGGTTGATCCAGCATCTACACTACCTGCAGTGAGAGATAAATGGCACAGGTTCCGAAAGCATTTGCTCAAACTTGTCCCGCGTCCGATTCACATCCTCAAAGTAGTCCCTGGAGAGGCATAACGTGAGGAAGAAAATGTAACGAGGGGAGGAAACAATGTGTCGCTGACCGCGCCTCCCTCCGTAAACTGATAAAACCTTTGACGCCATATTCTGTTATATTCTTGGGCTCTCCTTTTACTGGAGGAAGGTAGTCAACTCTGGCAAAAACGAAGAAAGCGTTTGTTACAACGTAGCCGTCAGAAGCGAGCATCACAGCCGTTAGAAGTAACTGATCTGGGAAAATGATTTTGAAGAAGTAAAAATCGACAGAAGCTGGAGTTCCATAGCTGAAGTAAAATTCGAGTGGATAGAAGCTTGAGCTCCATTAGGAAAAATCGATTGGATAGAAGCTCGAGCTCCATTGCTGAAGTAAAAATATCCAAACATTTTTTTACACATCGAAGTCTTTTCTTTCTTGTGGACTACAGTTTCTACAGTTGAAAGAGAACTCTCTCACTGGTAGTGCAAACATCTCCAGCGTCGACTCTCTCCCAAGTCTCCCAAGTCTAACTTCGTTGTCTCGCAGCGCTACCATGGTAAACTCTCGATTCAATCCTTCTCTCCTGGGAACCACGGCACCATTCACAAAAACCTTGCGATTGAGCGCCGCGACCATCTGTGCATACGACCAAACACCACCAAAGGTATCTCGCACTCTTCTTCGCAAAGTTTTATAGCCTCGGCCAAGTCTGTCGATGAAAAACTAGTTGAGGTTTTGAAATTACCAGGATCAGACGTCCACTAAAATCTTTATCATCGATTTCTGAGCCCAATCCTGTAAGATTTCTTCTGTAAGGAGAGGCATGGAAACAAGGATTTAATACCAGTCGGTCCATTGTGTCCGAGTATAACTACTTTGTGATCTTTGGGAGCATCAAGGACGAGCTCCTGGATCTTCTCAGCACTACCTTTCATACATGAAATGCCAAATCTTCAAAGAATGAAAAAGGAAGTAAAGTTCTTACAACGAAGAAAGGAGAGTTTTGCCGTAAACTTCATCCCATCGCAAATGGCCTTGCTCCAACTACACTAAGTTTTAAGTGACGATAATCCACACGCTTGAATCCTACAAACGCCAGGCCTGGTGTAACACCCAAGAGATCGAGAATGATTTCTCCAGACATCCACACCTGTAAAGCTCATGCTCTTTTGTCAGCTGTGGCAACCATGCTACCATTCCAAAAAAGAGTCTAGAGAAAATCAAGAAAAATAGTTACCACATCGCCCACAACTACAATTTCGCTCAAGATCTACCATTGCTACACTTGATCTACGCTTAGAACCCACCATATTTTTAAATGAAATTCTTGCTTAGGATCAATATAGTCAATGAAGGTCAATGAAAGTTAATGAATAGTCAATAAAAGTCTATAAAGATCCTCTGCCAAGTCAGAAACCAGTTTTGTCTCCATGATCTGGTATTTACATGGTAGCATTCGACCTGAATAAATGGCGATTTTCTATTCCATTGAGGTCAGAATTTACAAATCAATCGCAGGTTGTTTTAACGAATTTATCACCTCCTGGACAGCCGCGTGAGCCTCGGCAGAGATCATATTTAGCGACAGATGGAACGCCTGCAAGTTTTATCACAAAGAGTGATGAGCTCTAAAGAGACCGAAAAGAAAGCGTGGAAGTTGTTATAGAGTATACGCACCACGAATCTCTCCAAAACGGGAACTAAGGATAATAGTCCTTCTCCCGGCAATCTCTCGGCGATTGCTTGTCGTGCTCTGTCACTGCCACCACAGAAGTTAAAGTTGCTTAAATCTATGAGAAAGCAGTACCTTTCAGTGGAGAGGAACGCGAGCAACAAGGCTGTGTAAGCCTCCACAATCATATTCTCGGCTTCTCGTTGTCCTCTTTGTACAGTATCATCATCCTCGACCTGGAATTATTGAATAACTTATGGAAGAAACAAAAGAAAACAGATCAAGTACCTTGATGATGGATTTTTCTCTCGCTTCAGCAGCTTCCCCGGAACCTTGTTTGCTTAAAAAGAGGGAGCACAATAACGTTAAAATGCCCCTTCCATTTCCCGAGGCTATATGGGATGGCAGTTTCAAGTCCAAAGCTGCAAGCTGAGATCTGCATAACAAACACGAGAAGTTAACAAGTTCTGAAAGCTAAGAATCTCTCACCTGTTACTCTTGTCTTTCTCTACTAGATTGACAAGCATGCCAAGTACCGTCACAAGGAGATCCAAGCTCATCTCTTCTTGTGACTCGCGAGGATAGTTTGACACGAGGAGCGAGGCGACAGAGAAAATCCCGTTGCATGCTCCAACTTGCTTGCATCCAGTAGCATTATCATTCGTCAAGTTCATCAGAACCTAGAATGTATTTCAGTGATTATTAACCGGGGAAAACGAAAAACGACGGCATACCTTGACAGCCGAAAGTAAGCATTCTTCTTCTAGCTTGCATCTAGCAGAAGAGCCACCAGCTTCGTGATTCTCAAAAGTTGGATGAAGGGGTTCTACTCTGGACTTGTGTCGATGCTTCGGTTTACCAAATTGAAACTTGATGTCATAATCTGGCTCGTCAAAATCGTATGGATCTTGTGAGAAGATATCGTCACTCGCGTTGTCCGTCGTCATAGAAGTATCACTAGAAAATTTGAAGCGCCTGTCGTTGTCGGAAACCTTCGTTTGAATCATTTTCTGGCAGTTACTCGTCAGGGATGCCTTTCGTTGCGTGTTGATAATTTTAGCTTTCTGCAGAGCATTTCTCAGCTTGAGCTCCTTTTGGTTTGCAGATTTAGAAGCATCTCTTCCTACAGAAGACAATAAACCACAGAGACAAAAGAACGAGACAACGCACCTTTCAAGGCCGGCCTTTGCTTTTGAATGGCATCATCTTTGCAGGTTATTGTCTCTTTCGTGTTTGAAATTTCCAAACTAGAGTCGACTTCTTTGCCAGCCGTTCTATCTTGACTCGAGATATCTGCTTACAAAAAATTGTGCTGGATGCAAAGAAGAAAAGAAGTTGGTACCTTGCAAAGTATCAATTGCTTTTATAACGATTCCAATGAAGCCCTCTGGCAAAAAAATAGAATTTTGATGGTGCTTCAGTCTCAAAAGATAAGCCTGGATATAAAAATGCTTAGATAACATGAACGCAGACAAAAACAATCCGCACACCTGATTTTCTTCGCTTAAAAATGTAACGTTTTCCATCACCTTCAAACATCTTAGTAGTAAACTGACAGTATGGTCACTCCGAGTCCTTCCCTTCTGAAACGAAAGTAATAAGAGCAAGCAATTCCAACAGAAACTCTCACTGACCATCAAATTTGTAAGACATGTCGCAACAACATTACAGACAACGTCCAAACCACCCAGCTCGCGAAGCCTTTCTTTGAATTGTCCTCCAACCTTTGTCACCGCACCACTATTGTCTACAAAAGTTTTTAGAAACCTCAACCACAATAAACATGAAAGCCATCACGTACCATCTAGAACGACAGCAGAAAGGCACGCTCTCTCTAACGTACGCAATGCCAGTGACTTCGGAGTTAGTTGATTCGTTGTCACAGCGTCACTTGAAGTTTTCGTGGCACGCAACTTCTCATAAACTTTAGCCACAATATTCATCCCATCGCTGCTACTGACTGTATCAGTCTGGCTTGTAACAAGCTTGAGAAGAAAGCGAATACACGGGTCGGAGTCCATCACACTCGCATCATGCCCCTGACAAACAACAAAAACGAAGGAAAAAAATATCATTTAGAGTGTACGAGGGGTAGAGAAAACGCTTACATCACTAGCAAGCACGTAAAAAACAGCTGAGGCAGCCAAGGACAACGCCGGATCGCCTGTTGGTAAAGCTACAATAGCATCTACTAAAGTTTTCGCAATCCTGATAAGAAAGAAAGTGCTTGTGATCAAACAACACAAAGAAGAGGAAAAGAAGAAAACTTTACCCGTGAGATCGAAGAAAGCGTCTTTGCTGGAGCGAAGCACAGAGCGAGAGAATGGAGATCAAGCTGGCCTGCTGGACTTGGAGAGGCTGTCCTTCGCGCAAGCCATCCATGGCAAAATTCACCTCGTCAACCTGTTCCATCATCTCGCCCGATTCCTGGGCCTCCATGAGCGTCGAGTTTGGAGGAGCCGAGAATCCCCATCGCCGGCTCAAGCTCAGGCCCACTTGCCTCTGCAAGCGATTCAATTGCTTGGCCCCGGTGGCCCTGCCCTCGAATTTCTCCACCTGGAAGCTCTCCTCCTGCTGCTGCTGCTTCCTCTTCTTGGGCACATTCTCCTCGATCTCCAGCGACGACCAGTTGGACAAATCCTGCGACGACACAAACCCTGCCTCCTGCGAGCTGCTCCACGCCGATTCCTGCGAGCTGCTCCAAAAGGATTCCTGCGAGCTAGAATCTCCCCGGAGAGAATCGCTACCCCTGTGCCGCCGCTGGTACGTGCGGATTATCATCCTGGCCACAAACCCTAGCCGCTGCCGCCCCGCCCCGCGATCCTCCTCTCCTCGCTACCGGAGGCGGTGCATTCTAGCCGCAGTGCCGAGCTCTCGGCTCTCTCGCCACGATCGAGCGCCGATCGAGCATCCGCCCGCGCTCCTCCCCCCCCAAACAAATTTTGTGAAACAAGGAAAAAGAATATTCCAAAAGTATCTTACATTCATCGTATATTCTTTAAAACATTCTTTTAGGGCTATCGGGAAGTTTTAGAACGTTTAAAGCTTACATTTGGTACTTAGGGTTCTAACCAATGAGAGAGCCTTTCCTCCAGAATGAAGGTACGTATTCACTCGCGAAAGAGGAGGAGAAGATCGTCACGCCTCACGCGACCGCCTCCGCTATCAGCATTGCGTTCTTCCGCTGGCTGGATCCACTCTTCGCCGCTGGTTCCAAGCGGCCTCTCCAGCTCGAAGATCTCCCGTGGCTTGGCGAGAGAAATTCCGCGGCATTCCTCTTCCAGAGATTGCGCGGGAGCTCGATCTGGGATGCGATTTGGCGGCCGAATCGCAAGCTAGTGATCGCGAGCGGGATCGTCTCACTCTTGCACGTCTTGGCTTCCTACGCGGGCCCTTTCCTGGTGGCGGACTTCGTCGCGGCTTACGGCACTTCCCCAGGAAAGGGATTCGCGCTGGTGTCGGGGTTTCTTCTCGCCAAGATCAGCGCCAACTTGCTCGAGAGGCAGCGGCATTTCATGCTGTGCCTGCTGGGACTGCGCGTCGAATCCTCCCTGGCGTGCCATGTCTTCCACAAGGCGCTCAAGAGCTCGAGGGTTTCGACTGGCGAGGTGGTGAACTTGGTCACCTCGGATGTCCGGCAAGTCGGGTGGTTTTGCTGGGAGATCCACAGCGTTTGGACGCTACCACTCGAAGCACTGCTCGGTTTGATCATCCTCTACAGAGACGTCGGGCTTGCGAGCTTTGCGAGCGTTGGAGCGCTGATCGCTTGCACACTCTGCAACGTTCCACTCGCAAGTATTCAAGAGAAGTCGCAAGGCAAGATGATGCGAGAGCGGGATTGCCGGATGAGAGCTACTGCCGAGTCTCTGCGAAGCATGAGAACTCTCAAGCTTCATGGATGGGAGGAAAGTTTCTTGCGCAAGATGGAGCGCCTCCGAGCTGCCGAGTATGCCCATCTCTCCAGGTACTCTTACGTCCAAGCGTTGTCAAAGTACGTTTTTGCCACTGCTCCGTCGGCCATGGCTGTGGTTGCGGTCGCGTTGATGGCAAAGCTCCAGCCGGGGAAGATCCTTTCGGCAGTCGCAGTGTTTCGGATGCTGCAAAGCATGCAGGACGGGATCCCGGATTTCATTAGCTCTCTGGTGGGAGTTTGTGTCTCCATGCAGCGGTTGTCCAAGTTTTTCGAGGCCAGCGAAGTGGAATCGAGGCCAGAGTTTACAGGTTGTGGTGGTGGTGGTGCTGCTGCTGCGATCGAAGTAAGAGCGGCCAGTTTCAGCTGGGACAGGGATCCAGAGCATCCAACTTTGAAAGACATAAACTTGGAGGTTCCCAAGAGATGTTTCGTGGCGATCACTGGAGCCGTTGGTTCTGCCAAGTCGAGCCTCCTTTCGTGTATCCTGGGACAGATGCCAAAGCTTTGTGGAGAGGTATACGATTTGATATCCTTACTTAACAGGCTCTGTCACAAAATAAATAATTCTTTCAGGTGATTGTGAGAGGCACAACTGCTTACGTTTCTCAGTGGGCATGGATACAGCATGCTACCGTGAAGGAGAACATCTTGTTCGGGAGCGAGATGAACAAGGAAAAGTATGACAAGATCATCTCTTCTTGCCAGCTCAAGAGAGACTTGGAGATGCTAAGCCATGGCGACGAGACACGCATTGGCGATCGAGGTGTGACACTGAGTGGGGGACAAAAGCAAAGACTCCAGCTCGCAAGAGCCATGTACAAGGATGCTGATATCTATCTCCTGGATGATCCTCTCAGTGCTCTCGACACTCAAACATCCAGGGACATTCTCAAGGTAAGTGCGAACTCCCTGTCTCTTTTGTTCACGAGTTTAAGCACTTTTGCAGGAATGTATCCAAGGGATTCTGTGCACGAAGACCGTTCTACTTGTGACGCATCATCTTCAGTCCATCCAAATGGCCGACAAAGTGATCGTAAGTCTGTCAGCAATTTTCAGGTAGAACTTGTTTCGATCTTGTCGTGGACCATGCAGGTAATGGCGAACGGGAGCTTATCAGTGGACTGCGCAGAGCAAAGCCGAGCGGCAGCAGAGAGTGCAACAATGGATGAGTCTTCCAATCAGGATCGAAAGGAAGATCCAGCCGAGATCCAGCAAAAGTTGGAAGAGCCAGAGGCAGCCGAGCAAAGGGAGTGTGGAAGTGTGAGCGGGGGCGTCTACTGGGCCTATCTAACATCAGTCTATCGAGGAGCTCTTATTCCAGTGATCTTAGTGTCACTGGCTATTTATCAAGGCTTGCAAGCAGCCGCCACATGGGAAGTTGCGAGGCCGAGAACTTCCAAGGCAAAGCTTGTCATGGTTTTCGGTTTGCTCTCTTTGGGAAGCTCGCTGGCGTCACTCTGCCGAGTCTTGCTTGTCGCCGTGGTGGGATTGAAAACTTCACAGAAATTCTTTCTCGGCATGTACCGCTCGGTGTTCCTCGCTCCTATGTCGTTCTTCGACACTACTCCGATCGGACGTATCTTAAATCGTGTAAGCATGTCTTTCAGCTCTCTCGCTAATCTTTTTCTTGCTCGATGCTGTGTGCTTGCAGGCTTCTACAGACCAAACCTCGGTAGATATCTCTGTGCCGCTGAGATTGTCCGAGCTAGCCGGCTACATGACCGAGCTCGTTACGATAATTGTCATCGTTTCATTTGTTTCGTGGCATGTCCTCCCGGTCTTCGCGTTTCTAGCTTCTGTGGCTTACTGCCTCCAGGTATTTGCTCTTGGCTACAATATTATTTCCTTTCTAAACTCCTTCCACGCAGAGATACTACATCAAGACAATTCGCGAGCTCCCAAGACTAATGGAGATCCAGCGCGCTCCCATCGTTCACCACTTTGAGGAGTCCCTGAGCGGCCTCGCCACGATACGAGCATTCCACCGGGAGCCACAGTTTCTCGAGAGATTGTTCCACCTCGTCGACGTAAACAACCGTCCACAGTTCCACAACTTTGCATCCATGGAGTTTCTGGCTCTCAGGATCGGCGTCCTTGCCGACGTTTTCTTCTGCGCTTTGATGCTCCTGCTCGTTGCTTCCCCCAAAAGTCCAGGTACGTTGTTTCCTTTTGCAAAACTCTCTCTTAGGATGGATGAAAGCCCACGGTTCCAAATGCCAGGTTCGGCAGGAGTTGCTGTTACGTACGCCTTGAGCTTGACAACAGTGTTGACATGGACACTGTGGAGTCGAGTTGACACCGAAAAGAGAATAATCTCGGCCGAGCGTCTACTCCAGTATACACAACTCCATTATCAATCTCCACGGAGAGGGAAGCATGTTCAGCCTGCTGAGGATTGGCCGCAACTAGGCACTCTGGAACTCAAAGAAGTCAAGGTTTCCATCACAGCTCTTTCCTTAAAGTTTGAACGTCGGAGGCATGTTCTAAAGCTTTTTGTTTTTGTTCGCAGGTTCGGTACAAACCAAGCGCACCGATGGCACTTTGCGGGATCTCATGCAAGTTCCCAGCCGGGAAGAAAGTGGGCATCTTGGGACGCACTGGCAGTGGAAAGTCGACACTCGTGCAGGCAATTTTCCGCACAGTGGAGCTCACTTCTGGCCAAATTCTCATCGATAGTCTCGATATCTCTGCAGTGGACGTGCATCTCTTGCGTTCCAAGCTGAGTATAATCCCGCAGGACCCCGTTCTATTCGAAGGAAGCATACGTTACAACTTGGATCCACTGAGTACGTTCTCGGATGATCGAATATGGGAGGTATAATATATGCATATGAACCATGGCTCTTGTAATGTGTGAATAACTTGGAGTTCTTCACACAGGTTTTGAGGAAATGTGAGCTCATGACTGCTGTGGCTTCCAAGGGAGCTGGTCTCGATTCACTCGGTAACGAAGTTTTCTCATTTGATCTAGGATGGATCTTTCGTTTGTGATGTTCTTTTGAAGTTTCGGGAGATGGCGAGAACTGGAGCATGGGACAAAGGCAACTCTTGTGCCTTGGCAGAGTGTTGCTGAAGCAATCAAGGATCGTTGTGTTGGATGAAGCGACGGCATCGATCGACAGTGCCACCGAGAGAATCATACAAACTCGTATAGCTGAAAACTTCCAGGAGTGCACTGTGGTGACGATAGCACACCGCTTGGCAACAATCCTTTCCAACACTGATCTAGTTGCCGTGTTGCAAAATGGTAAATCCGCGATTGATCCTCTCTTTTTTACTCTCAACTCAATTGTCTTTGTGGATTTGCAGGCAAGCTTGTGGAATTCGATACACCACCTGTGCTTTCGAGCAATCCATCCTCAGCGTTTGCGACACTGTTGAGAAACCATCCCTGAGATCATATATAAGTTATAAGTCTTTTCGTCACCTTTTTCCATAGCCTATGCCTTTTCGTTCTACAGCTTATAAGTTGAAACTTCGCGTAGACCTAGAAAGACGATGATGAGCTCGAGTTTCCGGTGGGGCGATGTGGAGGACGAAGAGGTCGATGTGTTGCCACCAAGAAAGGTCGTCGGGCCAGACGAGAAGGGGATCAAGATCATCACCTCGTGGCGCAGGGATGAAGACACTGGCAAGCTGATCAAGGTAATCGAGACAGTGAGAGTGACGAAGAAGACGAAGAAGATGAGCCCCGCGGTTCTTCACCGCAAGCAGCTCAAGAGATTCGGCGACGTCGCAAACGCAACCGAGGGCGTGACGCTCGTCTCCGTGGACGAGATCCGGCTCGAGAAGCCCGGCTCGAGGAACACCCGCAGCGATAACGTCGATCTGGGGCTGCCCAGCTCCGGTAACACGTCCTTGATCGTTTGCCGGGCCTGTGGGAAAAAGGGCGATCACTGGACGTCGAGGTGCCCTTTCAAGGATTTGCTGCTCAAGGACGATGATGCGGTGATCAAGCCCGCCGAAGATCACGGTGATCGTGGCGACGTGACTCCGAAGCAAAGCACTGGGAAGTACGTTGCTCCCAACCGGCGTCCCGGAGGAGGAGCGGGATCGAAAGAGACGACGCGCTATAGAGACGATGGCAATTCGCTAAGAGTGACCAACTTGTCCGAGGACACGAGGGAGGCCGACTTGCAGGAGCTGTTTGGGCGATTTGGGAGTATCTCGCGGATCTTTGTGGCGTCGGATAGGGGGACGGGCCTGGGGCGTGGCTTTGCTTTCATAACTTTTGTGAGGAGGGAGGATGCCGAGCGCGCCATGAAGAAGCTCGATGGCTATGGCTACGATAGTCTTATACTCCATGTCGAGTGGGCGGCTCCCCGGGAGAGGCTAGTCAAGGAAAGGAATGACCATTGGTGATTGATAATAAATAACTATAAGCTTAATATTAATATTAAATCTCTACATTGTTGTGATGAGATGTTCTGATGTATGTGCATAGCTCAGAAATCGCTAATCACTGGCACCTTGCTTGATAAACCAATGGCTATTCTAAGATGCCAAGGCTTGGGTGGCAATCAGGTGACTATTCTTAAGTTGAGCTCCGGGGACGCGATTTTACCAAGATGCAGGAAAAGCCTGCACCGAGTGCGCGAATTCTGATCAGCCGAGAGACTGCTGCAAATGCACAGAAGCTTGAAAAAGTTGACCCAGCCTTGGTATTTAGTAGTTCTTGTGACAAAGTGTTTGCAGGCCTACAAAAGAACTCGAGAAAGTCAAAGCAAATGTCGATTGTGTCACTATGTTTCATTGGAACAATACACATTTACTGTTTTATTCAATTGAAATAAAACCATACTTAACATTACCAGTTCAAGCGTTGAGGCAATCTAGATTTCTTCGTGATAAGTATGCTGCTAGCAGAGAGCGTCTCCACTCCCAGCTTAAGACCGCGATCGCGATACTCTTATTGGGAATATCCTCGTCGCCATGTATGAAGTGGCTGCCTTGTTCAAGCTCGACTCGCTGTCGAGCGCCTCTCGCAGCGAAATCTTTCCTCTTGGAATGTTATGGTCATGGCAAATGCCCAAGGAGGGCACTGTCGCGGGACAGCGGAGGCCTTTCATCGAATGCCACATCGAAATGTGGTGTCGATAATCCAGGCACTTTTTCAAAGCAACGATCTCGTCCAAGACAGGCACTGTTTCGAACAGATCCCTGACCTCGACACCGTTTCTTAGAATATCATACTCGTGGCGGATGCCCAGCGAGGGCACGTCAAGAGTGCGGCAAAGATCTGAGCCAAGATCGAGAGGCCTTATGCGATATCGCTCGATAGGCGACTGCTTTCAGGTACATTTCCTGTCTTTAGTTTTATTTACTGAATTGTTTGAAGTACAAACAGCTATAGCACCTTTACCACCAATGGTGCGACCATCTCACTTGAAAGTTTGAGAACTTCGGTGAGATCCACGGGATGAGTCGGGTCTGCCTGGAACTCGAACTGTTGCACCAAACGAGCCGTCCAGAGGAGAACAGTCGCAAGGCCAAGAGCTCGTCCGGGACACACTCGACGACCAGCTCCAAATGGAGCAAGACGTAAGTCGGTTCCTTTCACGTCGATGTCCTGCTCAAGGAATCTCTCCGGGTTGAATTTCTCAGGCTCGGACCAGATGGAAGGATCATGAGTGATGGACCACATGTTTACCATGGCCGTGGTGCCTGCGGGGACGTGGTGGCCGCTCAAGCTTACGTCGTGGATCGCCAACCGAGCCCAGGAGAGCAAGGGACCTGGAGGATGCATCCGAAGGGTCTCCTTCACGACGGCCTGGAGGTACACCATCTTGTGGAGATCAGGCTCAGCAAGTTCGGATTTTCCTCCAACCATGCTAGTGATCTCATGTCGTAACTTGCTCTGCATTTCAGGATGGAGGACAAGCTCTGCAAGAATCCATTCGGTGAGGAGTGCAACCGTGTCAGTGCCTCGAAAAATCATTTCCTGGAAAGCACCACGTAAGTCGTAACAAAAATCAGAGGCAGAGTTCATTTTCTTACCCAGAGAACTGCGATCATGTCCGCATCTATAAGCTTGTCCTCGCCATCCAAGGAGAGCAGCACATCCACAAAGTCGGCTTCAGCAACTTTCTTATCAACCGACTGGTGATGCTCGTCGATGATCCTCTGGACAAAGCTCGTCACTCGGGGAACCAAAACGGCACAGCGCTGGAGGATATTCTGGGGGTCGACTGCCTTCAGAACTGGCAAGTGATCAGCCCAGTTGAATGCACCGAGCAGCTCGAATCCTTCCCTCACCATCTCAGAGAGCTGAGTGGCATCCTCAGAGCCATCCTCGAATCTCCTGCCGAACACCGTCTGCATGATGTTGTTAAGCGAAGCTCGCTGGAGAAAGTCCCGGACTCGGACAAGGCCGTCGTTTTCCGCGGCAAAGGTACTCATCGCTTCGATCATCCTGGTTGTCTCTGCCTGACGCGATGGCTCGTGAGCAGCAATCTGGCGTGGCGAGAACAGATAGTTGGAGGCAATTCTTCGCAAGTTACGCCAGTAATCTCCGTAGGGAGCGAAGCCGATTGCTCGTCCAAACAGGAGCTGCTGAGCCGACTGCTTGAGGGGCCTGTCCGCGAACTCAGAGCTATTGAGCAACTCACGTGCCACTTCCGGCTTGCTGGTTATGATCATCCTTGTGTTCCCCAGGCTGAATGCCATGAGCTCCTTTGCATGGTACCTCTCGGCAAGCGCGGCCAACTTTCGGTGAGCTTGGCCTCCCATTTCCGTCAAGACTCCAAGCACTGGCCATCCTCGGGGTCCCGGGATGGTCTGCTTCTTCCTCAGCGCTTTCCCCCATGCATTGCCACCGCGAACAAGCCAAGGAGCCAGGATCGCCGAGATGGCAGCTAGAATGAGCAGTGCAGAAGCAGAGAAGACAGATCTCCATGCATGATCGGTGGCTAAATGCCGGGGGAAGAAAGGCAGAGTGAGGATCCACCAATTGAATCCAGAAGACAACTCCATGATTGAATCGAGAATGCTTTGGGGAGGCAAGGCTTGAGACACCGCCTTTGGTTTATGATGGTCTCGGGTTTTATAGCGACGAGAAACGAGATTATCCAGAGCTGCATGCCTGGGAAAACTATTGGCTGAGAACAAGAATGCTCGAAATGGTAAGTCTCTAAGATAGTACAGCTTCTACATTTGCTCGTGTCTTGTGGATTTTACTGTTCTAACACTTGAAGAAACTTGAGTTGGCAAGTGACTTGATCATCAAACTACGAGTCCCCTTCCTATAAGTGCATCGTTCAAGCGGCATTTCATCCAGAATGCGACGAATCTTCTACAGGTTCTAGAGGACTAATTAATCGCGGGTAATTCAGTCCCTGTTTGTGACTGGCGGTTTTTTCCGAGACAAAGGGCGATACATCGCTTGTTTTCAGCTGTTTCTGCTGGACATTGCCAGATGGTCATCGCTTGGACAACTTCTTTTGCGGAGGACAAGGAAGAGCTCGATGACAGTGGAGCCAATCACTTCGGAGAAGTCGGAGAAAGGTGGCAGCTTGCGCCGAGATTTTCTTGGAAAACACACATGTATAATCAAAGGTATATATATAAGTCACTCTTTAGGGTTGACAGAAAAATGGCGGATCTTGTGCGAATCGCTGTTGTGGGCGATGTGGTAAATCATTGATTCTTAATTGATTTGCTCTAGACTCTTCGTTTTGAATGGCAGCATGGCGACTGGGATGCCACAGCTGACAGGAGAGCCTTGCAACACCTCAATGTAAGTTAACGAAGATAAATCCAAAGAAAGTTTTCTCCAAACACGAACACACATCCCAAATCCTAGCCGCCACCATTTCTTTCATCCATTTCGATGAGGACAGTCCAGTCCTCCAAGCCAATTCGTTAAGAGATTTGAATCAAAAGATGGCACTAAAATCACTCACTCGGATCTCTTTCACTCAGCCGGATCTCGTCTTATTCACGGGGGATTTTGGCGACGAGGACGTGCAAATCGTGAGAGAAGTGGCCAACCTTGACATGAGCAAGGCCGTGATCCTTGGAAACCATGACTGCTGCCGGAGTGCTCTCGGGTTTGTTCATTGATTCTCCTTTTTTTTTTCTCTTCGTTTCATCTCTCTTTTCTAGCGGTAATATCGACTTTCTCTACGAGAAGTTTACAACCAGCTATCTGGAGCGTCTAGTTGGATATCTCGTTTCTTTTTTCAAGAGACCATCCAAGCCTGCTGTAGAGCAGCAAATCCAGATGTAAGTTCCCCTTTTTGTGGATGTCTAGAGAAATAATTCTCGATCTCTTATCAGGCTTGGAGACTCGTTTGTAGGATTCAAGCGTGTGGATTATCGCCACTTAAAACTTAGTGTCGTTGGAGCGAGGCCATTTGCAATGGGAGGTGATGGAGTTTACGGCAAAACTCTCCTTTCTTCGTTGTAAGAACTTTTTCTTCCTTTTCATCCTTTGAAGACTTCTCGTGTAGATTTGGCATTTCGGATCTGAAAGGTAGTGCCGAGAAGATCAAAGAGCTCATCCTCGATGCTCCCAAAGATCACAGTGTAGTGATACTCGCACACAATGGACCGACTGGTATTAAATGCATGTTTCCATGCCTCTTCTTACACAAGACTTACAGGATTGGGCTCAGAAAGGCATGATATTTGTGGTAAAGATTTTAGTGGACGAGGTGGAGACAATGGGGATCCTGGTAAGTACAGAACTTCTCGCTAAAGATACCAGTTTTTCATTACTTTTTCCTCGACAGACTTGGCCGAGGCTATAAAACTCTGCGAAGAAGAGTGCGAGATACCTTTGGTGGTGTTTGGTCATATGCACAGAAACGAGGGGCGCAAGATGGTCGCGGGGCTCAATCGCAAGGTTTTTGTGAATGGTGCCGTGGTTCCCAGGAGAGAAGGATTGAATCGACAGTTTACCATGGTAGAGCTGCAAGACCACGAAGTTAAAAGGGTCACGGAGACGTGGGTGAAAGTCGCTGCTGGAGATGTTTGCATTGCCAGTGAGAAAGTTCTCTTTCAACTGTAGAAACTGTTGCTCAAAGCTTCGCTGTGTAAAAAAATGTTTCGATTTATGGAGCGCGAGCTTCTATCCAATCGATTTTTTCCATATGGAGCTAGAGCTCCAGCTTCTATCCACTACTTCAGCTATGGAGCTGCTTCTATCCACTCGATTTTTACTTCAGCTATGGAGCTCGAGCTTCTATCGAGCTCGAGCCTCTAAATCAAATAAACGCGCCAATTTTTTTGGATTCTAGGGTTTATGGGTTTCTAGGTCGAGGCAGCCATGCTTGTGGATGTTCCAAGCGCAATTGGGGAGAGGGTTTTGCAAGATCAGCGCTGCGGCTGCGATATTCTCGGATGCGCTAGCAGCGGCGGCGCCAGCGCCGCAGTCCCGGCTAATTGCCTGGATCAAGGAATGCGGCGGCGCCAGAGATCTGGAGCGAGGGCGGCGCATCCACCAAGAGGTGATTCGCAGCGGCCATGGCTCCGATCGCGTCGTGCTCAACAGCCTGGTGAGTATGTATGGGAAATGCGGCAGCCTGGATGATGCGATCCAGGTCTTCAACGCCATGGGGAAGAAGAATCGCGATGTGGTGTCGTGGAATTGCTTGATGCTGGGCTATGCCGAGATTGGGGATGGGGAAGCCTGCCTGGGTTTGCTGGGAGGAATGCGGGAAGATGGAATCCGACCAAATGGAAGAAGCTTTGTGGCTGGGATCAAAGCCTGCTCGGCCAAGGGGGGATATTGTCGAGACAAAGGACAGATGGTTAGCTTGAGATCGTTGGAGATTGGAATGGCTCTTCATTCCCAGGCTCGCGAGAGTGGATTCGAGTCGGATATTTTCGTGGCTGCCACCTTAGTCGACATGTACGTGAAGTGTGGAAGCTTGGTGGATGCTCGCGGGGTTTTTGAGAGAGCTCCTTTCCACAACACGGTGCTGTGGAACGCTTTGGTGATGGGATATGTTGAGAATGGAGAAAGCGAGCTAGCTCTGGAGCTTCTCCCATACATGAAACGAGAGGGATGTGATCCAGATGCTAGAACTTTCGTAGCAGCGCTCAAGGCTTGCGGAAGTTTTGCAACGACAGAAGAAGATGATGATCTTGGTGGCAATAGAATACGGTACTTGGAAAGAGGGATGGCCTTGCATTCCCAGGCTCTCGGACTCGACTCCTCGGACATCTTCGTGGCCAGTGCTCTCATCGACATGTATGGGAAGTATGGAAGCCTGCTTGACGCACGAAGAGTTTTTGACAGGATTGAGATCTCTCGGCACGATGTGGTCTCGTGGACTGCTTTGATCATGGCCTGTGTGGAAAACCGTGAAGGAGGGCTGGCTTTGGAGCTGTTTGAGCACATGAAGGCCTCGTCCTGTGCTCCAAACAGCCGAAGCTTCGTCGCTGCTTTGAAGGCATGCACCAGCTTGGCAGCTATAGAGGAACCACGGCAGGGTCTCGAAGGGAAGTTTGTCAAGATCAAGACGTTACAGAGAGGTGCTTCACTCCATGCCGAAGCTGCTGGCCGTGGCTGCGAGGTGGATATCTTCGTGGCCAACACTCTCTTGGAGATGTACACAGTTTGTGGAAGCATGCTCGAGGCACGGAGAGTTTTCGACAGGACGAACGACCGAGACGTTACGTCGTGGAACTCGATGATACTGGGGTATGTGGAGAATGGACAGGACGAGCTAGCGCTGGAGCTTATCGATCTTATGGAGAAGAAACGAGAGTGTTTGCCGAATGATCTCACTTTTGTGGCGGCTCTCAAAGCCTGTAGCAGTCTCGCCATCAAGGAAACCGGTCAGAAGATCTGCGGGAAGATCGTCAAGCTCAACTCACTGGTCAAAGGCTTTGATATTCACTCAAAAATCATCTCCAAGAGCAGCTGCTGTGACTCGCTGAGCTACACAACCAACGCGCTCATCGACATGTACACGAAGTGTGGGAGCCTGGTGGATGCACGAAGAGTATTTGACAGGGTGGTTTCGCAAGACGTTGTTTCATGGAACGTCTTGTTGCTTGGCTATTGCGAGAACGGAGAAGAGTCTCTCACGTTGCAGCTATTCCAAGCAATGCTCGGTGCCGGCTGGTGCTGCAAGCCCGATTTTAGAACTTTTTGCGCTGCGTTCAAGGCTTGCAGCTGTCTCGCCGCCAAGGAAACTGGACAGGAACTCGCTGGAAAGGTCGTTAAGGTGGAATCCTTGAGAAAAGCCAGGATGCTACACTCACAGGCTCGGAGCTTTGGGATCGGGCTGAAAGCTTACGTTGCAAGCTCTCTGGTGGATATGTTGGCAAAGTGTGGCAGCATGGACGACTCTCGCGGAGTTTTTGACAGGGTACCTGTGCATGATACGTTTTCTTGGACCGCACTCATGCTGGGATACGCTGAAAGTGGTGACGGTGACCGTGCTATGGAGCTCTACTCCCAGTCTAGGCCACCAGAACAGGACGCTCAAACTTTCATCGCTCTTCTCAAGTGCGTTGGAGTTTTGGAGAGTGGAAAGATCATCCATGGCGACATGTGTAGAGCTGGGCTGGAAGATGGTGCGGTCCTAGAGGCAACCTTGGTGGATGTATACGGAAAGTGGGGGAGCATGGACGATGCTCAACGCGTTTTTGACGCTCTCTCGGCTGCCAAAGACAAGCTCGTGTCCTGGAACGCGCTGCTTGGAGGCTATGCCCGTCAAGGTGACACCAAGAACGCTTTGAGGCTGTTCGAGGAGATGCAAGAACAAGGCCTGGAGCCCGACTCAGTGACGTTCCTCTCGGTTCTCACTGCTTGCAGCCACGCTGGTCTGGCCGAGACCGGCAAGAGATACTTCGAGACAATGCAACTCAAGCACGGCATTGAGCCAGGGATGTCTCACTATCACTGCATGGTGGACGTTCTCGGCAGAGCCAACCGCGTGGAGGAGGCTGTCCAGCTCGTAAAGTCGATGCCTTTCAAGGCGAATGCAGTGACTTGGAGGACTGTTTTAAGTGCCTGTCGGAAATGGAGGCACGAGGTGACTGGAAAGCTTGCGTTTCAGTCGGTGTTGGAGACTGATTGTGGGGACTCTTCAGCTTACGTGTTGATGGCGAACATTTACAACGAGAGTGGCTCATAACAACTGGAGCGGACGAGCAGATCATGTCAACGGGAAGTTTGTGCGCATGAATGGCATCGAGACAAAGTTTTTGGTATGTCAAAAGGTTGTTTTCCAGCAAGTGATTCTCTAACGGTGAATGTTACAGGAACAGCAAAACTTTTCAGCATGATTGCTGCTCTTGGGCGACTTAGCTGGAAGTCCTTCCACTCACGTATAAGGTATGACATTTTACTAGGAATCAATCTTTTCAGTGTGGGACTGACGCGTGCTGTGCAAGATATCCTTGCGATGCAAGTCCAGACAAGGAGCATATAATTCGTAAAGATGGTGTTTTTATTTGACTGCCCAGTGGAGAACACACTGTGTAAAGCTACGTCTCAAGGTACAAGAAAGGAACCTTCTTTTTATATTTTATTTTTCATGTGTTCCTTTTTTTTTCCCGACTTTATCTCGTACCAGTTCGTAAAGATCTTGGACTGACTAGCCTAGCTAGCTGGTGGAGAACACGCTGTCCGTTCTAGAAGGTAGCGAAACTTCCATTTTTTCTTCTTTCTTGAACTTTAGTTCACAAATCTGCAGTTGTTTCTCACTTCACCTCGATTTCCAGTCAGGACGTTGAAAGAAGTGAGCTTCGCGTAAGCACTTGCGAAGGCATTGAAGAAAGAGATCTGGTTCTGAGAGAACCTGGCCACTATCGGAGAAGTTCTCGCGTCACTGGCCAGCGCTGCATCAATGGTGAAGAGTCCGAGACCCATTGTCGCCTCTCGAAAGTACTGATTGTCGAACTGAAGGCTGCTGAAATCGTTCTGGACAGTAGTGGCATTGATGATGAATCTTGGATCTGAGGACGGGCAGCTCACTCGCAATCTAGTCGCGTATACGAAGCTCAAGGTCGACTCGGTATTGGGATAGAGCCGGTTGACGATGTTCACGCAGTGCCCGACGCCGAGAGTATGACCGCCACCTGGTTGGTAAGAAACGAGGTTTTTTATCCGTGAGAAACTTGAAACTAAGAAACGTGCAGTCGTGGGGAAACTTTATCGAGACTCTCGGAAACGGACATTTATAACTCGAACAGAGAACTTTGAAACTTGGACTCTGGCGGAAACTTACCGATATGAAAACTTTTGGAACGATGAACTTAAAGAACCACTCTAAGAGCCGATGAGACAACGGACTTACGGAGATGGGAATTTTGGAAGAGGGAATTCTAAGGAACACTGGAAGAACTTACCCATAATTGCAACGCTTTCTTCTGTGGACATGCCCATGGATCCAAAGAGGTTGAGGAAATTATCAACGCTGATGGTCGTCGGTGGAAGGCTGGAATCGGCGGCGGCATTGCTAGCAAACGTGCTGTCGAGCCTTCCCATGGGAATTCGAAAGTCGGGGCCTCCTGCGAAGACAACGGCGTCCCTTCCAGCCATGGCGATAATGTCAGCACAAGAAACTCTGCCAGGCCCGCATTGCGAGTCCACAGCCGCTTTCGCGTTGTCAATGAGGTTGAGACGCCGGATTCCAAAGTTCTTGGAGGCAACCATCTCGCTGGTGATGCCACCTTGCGAATTCAGCATGATGGAAGCGTCGCATCCCTGGGCCGGAGAACAGAGAAACGAGTTTTGATTTTCCCGGTGGTGGTGGTGACAACGAAAGAAGCAGAAATTCAGCTGACTGAAAGGAAAGAACAGTGCGAAGAACTTACTCCAACTTGGCAGTCGTGGAAGGCAAGCCTGAGAAGCGCCGCTGCGGCGGTGGGATCACCCGCAAGGTTGCTGGAAATCGAAGCTCTCACAGTTCTTTCGGCCTGGGGACAGACGTTGTCGTAGTAATCGTACGAAAGTTGCTGGGACAGGGGGAAGAACTCCGCCAGGATCATCGCCGAGACCAGGAAAGTGCTCCACCTCCACCGAGACGACAATGCAGTTAGGCTGTGATCCATGACGATTGGTGTGGAGTGGCGAATTCTTATCTCTTCCCGGAGAGGAGAAAAAGCAAGAAACAGAACAAGCAGAGTCAGAACAAGGTACGCGAAGTTTCAGCAAGAACTGCAATCGAGGAAAGAAGTGCTTGTATTAACTTCCGATTCTCTGTGGCAAATGGGAGCGAGGGGGTGAAGAGAATCGATCAGAGTCGGGGCCAGGCTTTGCAGAGGAATGAAGTGGACGAGAATTCCAGAAGAAAAAAATAAGAAAAGAAGAAGAGGAAAGAAAGAGGACCTCCTTCTTCGAGGAGCTCTCGCGCAGAGAGGTAAGTGTTAAGGCTTGACAAAGTGGGAAATTCGGGTGGAATACTTATGCAGTGTGTTTTTAAGGTGCTGGGTCCATGCAGTACACCAAACTTTTGATCGTCGATAAGTCGTTAAGCGCGATTCAATGCTGCTGTTGGGGACAGTCACTAGGTGAGAGTGTGTGATAGCTCACCTCTCTCTTTCACTCCCCTCATCTCTCTCTCTCTCTCTCTCTCTCTTGCAAATCGGGACTGTGGATCTTCATAATTCTTTGGTGGTTTTTTTGTTTCTCCACTTTGAGTTGGAGATCATCGCATCGTTTTCTTGAGGGACCCTCATCATGTGTCGTGTGTCAGGTATCAGCAAACTTTGTGACCAACGCGGAGATGTTTGTTCTTTCCCAACTCTAAACAGAATCTATAGCTTCTCATTAAAGAACATCTACTACCTTTTAATTTAATTTTAAGGCATGACCTAAACCTTATAATTATTCTAGTTCATCAATTAAATTCTTGGCGAACCAAGTGGCACAGAAACCATCCTCGCCCAACCCTCATGCTCGCAACAAACTCACTGCGACGAGGGCAGCTCTTCGCCAGATGCAAATCCAAGATCTTTGCGATGGATGGCGGTTCTGATGCTAGAGGGCTCTCGTTTTTCTGCTCCGGTTGGATCCAAGAGGACGAACCAGATGAAAGACATCCTTTGCGCACTTTCTTGTGAGATTTGAGATTGGACCGGGGACCTGTAGAGCTTGTCCAAGAGGAGATGCGGGTGGCCAGCCTGATCGTCGTCGTTTGAAGACGAAGATTTGAAGAAAAGGCATCGGCTCTGGTGGACTGGGTCGCAGCAATGGTGTTTGCGCGGCTCTATCTTCTCCAAAGACTGCGCACAGGAGCTCTTCGGTGTTTCCAATTTCGTCTGGCTGCTCGACCAAGATAGAGATCCGGCAGAAGGAGGTCTGGGGCGTTCATGATTGAGAACTCAAGGAAACCGTGGGTGGTCTCATAGGGACTGTTCGTAACAGGAGATGGGTGTCAAGACTCTCATCCTAGACGACTGCCACTCCCTCTCTGAATTGTTAACAGGGCAAGAAGGAGAGATTATCTAACTATCAGAGTCCCTGTGAGAACAAGAACTATATTAGTTTCAATATGAGCTTAATAGCTTCTTGTTCCTTCAGCTCAACGTAAACCCAAGGAATTGTGAATGGCTCTAAAAACCACAACTCCAAGCCTTTTTTTGTTTTCCTCTTTAATAAGACCAACATGACATCGTCTGGTGGTGGAGGTAGAATTTGAGTAGAAGAATGGATAGATTGACCAATCACTATTGATATAAATTCACAAGAAAGAATGTGGGTCAGGGTTTAAGTAGAAAGAAATCTGGTGGAATTTCAGAATAATGTCCTTGCTCACCAGGGATGAAACCATCATGGGAGATTTAAATCCATAGTAGGCCCTAGGAATATACATCTGATGGACCTCAAAATGGTGGCATGCATTTCACAACATCATTGCTGTGATTGGAACTAGAGTTCTTTTGCTCTATGGTTCTATAGCAGCTAATGGCTGACTTAACTTGGTCACATATTTTTAATCACCATTTACCAAAGATCTCCTTATGTTTCCAGGGCTTCAGGGATTTTGATGCTATTTGTTATCGGCATCATAAGTCTCAACACAGTGTGAAATAATCAGGCTCCACAAGCTCCATAGGAAATGCATGGACAGTGGAAACAATATCATAACAACACCAAAAAACTGAGTGTTTGAAGTGCCAAACATATTAAGGGTCTGATATAACCCCTATATATCCAGGCTAGACATGTGAAATATATTTTAATGTAATATATTTCCTAAAAGCCAAAAATATATAATATAATAAAAATTATATAGTTTAAATGTATCTGAATTTGCAACTATTGCATTTGTGTTTACCTTGCCATTCACATAACATCCATATTTGCTAAAGTTTTTTTTTTAATTTACATATAGCTTTATATTTTAAAATTGTCAAGGTCTAACAATTCTAGCTTCTTTTAAACATGCTTTATAAGTTGGGGTTTATATTGGTTTTGTACAATAATAATACCTCAATTTACAAAAATATCTCTTTATATTATTTTTAGTGCAACAAAGTAAAATCTTAAGATTTTCTTAAGTCTCTTCAGTGGTAACAACTTGTTAATTTATTTAATCCTTAACAAATATATGCTTGAAAAGAATGATCCATAGAAAAAATAAACTTATATATGAAATTTCAACTATTTTTTATTTATTTTATTACATAACTTTATTTAATTTTTGTAATAGTTTAAGTTCATGAATTTACATCCAGCCCAATATAACTCAAACTTATGAATGATTAACCATAAATATCCCAAGACTCTTAACCAATTGAAAAATAAAGTGCACTTTTTTTCATAAAATTTTTTCTTTTTATATTTGAACCTTTATAGATTATCTCTTGACTCATTCTTTTTGGTTATTTACAATGAGTTTTAATTGTTTTATTGTATCAATATAACCATTTATATAGAGCATACCATTACAAATAAACTTAATGCTCATTTATGTATAAATAACTTAGATGGGAAAGAGGGTTTTGTGATTGTTAATATCTCATCATCTTGCTTAAACAATAAGTATCATCCTTTCCTTTACTATTAATTTTATTTTAGTTTTAACTAAAGCTCCAAAAACCTCTTTATTGTAATTGTTAAGTGCAATAACATCATTGATTCAGTGATACATTCTTCCAAAATATTGAGCATGCAAAAATAAGTTTAATATCAAATAAAAAACTATATAATTATAGTTTTCATTGACAGTTTATTAAAGTTCAAATAAAAGAGCTTCTAAACAAGCGTGCACTTTTTTTTCAGTTAGTTAAAGGTATCAATTGAAATACATGAAATATCCTTTTGAAAAGTCAAATTTTAAAAGCTCTATATTTGGACCAAAGGGGTCCAAAAATGTTAGTGATCCACATGTTGAGAGATTGTTCATTATGAACAAGAGTGTGGGGCTCTTGAGAGATTTATGGCAATTAATTTTTGTTCATGAGGACTTATGAATTTGTTAGGAAATATAATAGATTGTAAGCAACTAAAGGGTGGCCCATGAATAAAAGAGCACGTTTTTTTTCAATTAGTAGGAAATATAAAGCTTACAACATAGAACTATACTAATCTAAATAGCTTTCAGTGGTCAAGATGTATAACTGTGGTCTAGCAAATACCTAAAAAGGACCCTTTTCTATTGAGTAAAATATAGTGTATTAGACTACTACTTCCAGCTGGTTGAGTCCAGTTTTGGGCTTGCTCTCTGCTGGAAAACAACATTCCACCAATCAATTAATACCAGAAACCAAACGAGAAGCTAAGCTCTGCTGCCAGCCGCCCGTGGGATGCCCAGCATGCCAAGAGGAACAGCAACAGCTCCAGGAAGATCATTATGCTGTGGCAGAGCATGGCCAGCTCATACAGAAGACCCTTCTGTACTTGATTGATCGCTTATATGGTGCCTTGTTCTAGTTTAGAGTGGCTAAGTTTGCTCATAGAAGTGCTGTGACTAACACCTCCTGCTGGTCTTTAGAAGCCTCGGAGCTTCTTCTACGTCGGCTTTCTAGTCCGAGCAGGCCATCCATCAACTTCCATGGCATGGCAGTGAGAGTAGAGTATAGCCGAGTTTGTGGCGGACACCATTGAGAAGTCGGCAATGCTAGTGTTTTGGAAAAGATTTCCCATGGCCTACTGCAGGGTTTCCAAGCTCCTGCAATTCAGTCTGTTGCTCACTAGCCACAACACATGAAGACGTCCAGCTAGACGTTCCGAATGTTACAGAGATGGTCAACAAAACTGCCGGAAGCGCATTGACGTGCATGGCCAACACGGTTTCGCACAACAACTGACATTGTCCGAATTTTGGCCTCTGAACAACGGCTGCACCGACTCTTTTAAGACTTCCAGGTTGCCCCATCAAGTTATTCAAGTAATCAAAATCTTAAATCTCAGCCAAATTGCCTTGTACTTTGCCAACATTGTTGTTCTGGAAATACCAATTTGAAGGTCTGGAAAGAATTCTTAGAAAACCCGCAAAAGAGGACGTATCTGAGTTACTTTTTATATTCGAGAAACCTGCAAGTAAAACCGCTCCTGACAAGTGGATTCTAAAACAGAACATATTCCTGTTAACGATCCTTCCATTTGAAAATCCGTGCAATACCGTTACTATAGAAAGGATATCCTGCCCTTGATAAGTCTAGTCTGAATCCGAGTCCGAAACGGAAACGCGCCTGATTCTTCTCTTCCTCTCGCGTCTCCTCCTGCCACCAAAAGTTGCACATATCTCTTGTAGAAACTCCTCACACTCCTTAAGCTGCATCAAGTCTTCGTCCATGGCGCGACATGTTCTCCGATCTCTGCCGACGATGGCATTGCCGAACCCGACCAGTTTAGCACGCGGCTGGCCACCTTCTACGGTAACGACAATGTTCTTGAGGTCATGAAGCCCGTTGTAGACAACTCCGCGGTCATGAAGTGCCAAGAGCGCCTTCCGGGCCTGGGACACGACTGCTCGCACTTCTTCCGCATTGCTCGGAGTCCAATCCTCGACTCCAGCAGCTTGGCCTTCATCGGACATTATTACGTAGAAGATCATTCCCCCGCGGATGAATCCATAAGACAGCAGCCTCGGGATGCATATGCCTTGAACCCTGTGGAGCCTCATGTACACGTCCAGTTCTCTCACGCTTTTACCAAGCAAGTAGCTCATGCTCTCGCCATTGCTCTGCAGAGCTGCAACCAAGGAAATGACATTACTAACGTGATAAAAGCGCACCTGAAAGATCTTTGGCTTTGACAACTATTGTCCTCCCTTTGTACAAACCACGGACGACGATAGTGAGACCTTCAAAGCCACTGCACGCAAACCTCAATTCCCGAACATCACCAATGTCGAGCGCTCCAAGACCTGAAACCATCTGTCCCACCGACCTGACTTGCTGTGCTCGACAGCATTCCTCAAAAACACCTCTTGCGTAGCTAAGGTGTAGGCTTCTAAGTGGAAGCGCAGGTTTGTGCTTCTTATTCTGCAGAGCCTCCGCAAGCATAAAACCGATTCCCATCATGGGAGATTCCACGTGAGAAACACCTTGGGACACAAGCAGACGACTGCCCACCCTTTTGCAACAAGCAGTCCGCATGTAGGATGACACCACCCCGAACGAGCAATCGGTGAGAAGGAGATAGGAATACAGCCTCGCAAGCGCGGGCCGGCCGGTTGGATCCATGGCCATCACCCCGACGACCAAAGTCTCGTCATTTGAAGAGTCTGTGATCACCATATCAGGAGAACCAACACAAGATCCTTCACCACTGCCATAATGAAAGTTCAATTCCAACGGATCCCGCTGCTGCTGCTGCCGCCAAACTTTGCTTTCGTAGATTCTCTTTGTAGCATGAAAGAGGTATGGTCTAAACTTGATATAGAGTGGACTTCGAACTTTTGGTGGGAAAGGTGCGTCCTGTAGAGATGCAAACCACTGGATCTTGTCGTTCCTGAACGATGGCCAGTCCTCAATCGCGAAATCATCCAGCATGCATATCTCGTTCAACGGGGGTTGAGTGGAAACCTGCTGTAGATGATGTGCTACCACCTCCATCGGTGGCGTGGGATGGGCTTCAGAAATCATACCTTTTAAAGTCGTCGGAGAAACATACCGACCATCCAGCTTCTTGAGCGCCGCATTCGCAGCCTCCTCCATGGCCTAGCCCTAACAATGAGTAGCAGCCCACATCTACTTTTAATTTTACCTTCCATAACCCAGAGTTAAATTATAGCAGTTGCAAGTCTCAGCCCCTTGGGATGCTTGAAGCGTTCCGTTGCGGATTTCTTCGGGCACAACACACTGCTTCTCGTCTCCTGCCTTTGATACATATAAGTCCGTCTCTCCTTTTGCTTTTCTTCTGTGCTTTTGCTTTTCTGTTTTTCCCGAGATAGAAGTTTGTAAGAACTGGTTTTGAACTTGTCGTCCTGCAAGAAAACAATCCTGGATTTGAACTTGTCTTCCTGCAAGAAAACAATCAGGAACAACCGGCCCAGAATCTCTTTCGTGCAAAAGATGTGGCGAATTGACTTCCCTAAAATCAACAGCGTCTCCTGGAGCGCTGAAGGTTCATGTTTGATCAGTCCTCGCTTTGAGGTGCGCTTGCCAGAAGCTGACCATGCTAGTTGTATGCTCTAAATGAGAGTTTACGTGGCATATCCAGGTGTAGGATAGTCAGGACTGTTAATTATGTATATATGCATTATGATAAATCAGAGTGTGAGAGACATTGTTTTGCTCTTCTTTCATGGTATCTGAGTGGCTTCAGATCCTGGGACGATGGCACTGGCCAAGGAGGAGGCCTGTGAGGATGACAATGCACCACCGGATGTGGCTAAGATGCCAAGAGTTGGCACTCTTGCTGAGCATGAGGAGAGAGAGCCACTTGACAGAGTGTGCAAGGCTGCAAGCAGTGACGGGGCAGGAGCCAGGGTGGAGGTACGAGGCACAGCAGTGAGGAGGCACCGAGCACAGGTGCTGCTGCTGAGTGAGGCCCCGTGCACACGACACTGGCCTGAGGACTGGCAGCAGGAGACACTGAGCAGTGACTAGCCAGGAGCCAAGTGAGCAGGAGGCGCTGAGAGAGAGAGAGGCAGAGCTTGTGGAGGGCGCTTGGAGGTTCTAGGGCTGAGAGGGCGAGAGGCAGCGAGCAGCGTCAGGCCAGGAGCCAAGGGCTGCAGGCAGAGGGAGGCACTGAGGCGCATGCTAGAGCAGAGGCATGGACGTTCCTGAGTGAGAGCTCACAGGCACAAGAGGGTGCAGGTGCTGAGGCATTGCTGCTGGAGAGCCGTTGTGGGGTAGAGTTGCTGAGTGCTGGAGTATTCCCCGATGCTGCAAGGCAGAGGGAGAGAGCCGTTAGGGTTCTGGTCTTGAGGATGAGACGATGGTGGGACTGAGGTATTCCCTAATCCATCCTTGCTATGCTTTGGAAAGGTGTTTCCTGATAGGGAGATAGATCTAGTAGCCATGGGATGATCAAGGAGGCGGGTTCTAGAGAGGCAGAGCTAGAAGGATTGAGAGGGAGATAGATTTCTTGTCATGGACATGAGAGTGCTTGGATGCAGAGGGAGAGTGATATCAATTTCATGTCATTGAGATCGAGAGGGAGTGTTGGAGATATACACTCTCCATATGAGTTGCCACATCACTGATCTAGGTGTAGGATAGTCACGATGTATATATGCATATTAGAGTGAGAGAGTCATCCACCATTGTTTTGCTTCTACTCTTCTTTTTTTCAATACCATGAAAGAAGAAGAACAAAAGCAAAAAAATATATATACATTAGTAACAGTTGTGATTATCCTACAGGATCAGTGATCATGCCATATAGACTCTTAGAGTGTATATCTCCAACATACCAAAAATAATGGTGGATGACTCTCTCTCTCAATGCTTCCTCAGCACTCAAGGCCAATGTCATGTGTAGAGGGCCTTGCTCAACAGCAGCACCTGTGCTTAGTGCCTCCTCACTGCTGTGCCTCATACCAGCTGGGCCTTGGCTCCTGCCCCATCACTGCTTGTAGCCTCATGCTCTATCAGCCCTAGTGGCTCTCTCTCCTCACTCTCAGCACAATCCCACTAGGAGTGCTAAATCTTGGCACCACCTAGCCATGTCTAATGGCTCATCATCATCCTCACTAGCCTCCTCCTTGGCCAGCACCATCATCCTAGGGTCTGAAGCCCTACCATGAAAGAAGAAGAGCGGAAACAAAACAATAGTGGATGCCTGTCTCACTCTAATATATCATAATGCATATATACATGATCAACAATCTTGACTATCCTACACCTAGCTTAGTGATGTGGCAACTCATGCTACATAGACTCTCATGTCATGGAGAGCATATATCTCCAACAGTATACAGACCCAATGTGGCCCATGGTGCCAACCACAACTCCCAGCTTGAAGAAACCAACATTGCAAAGCCACATATATCTTCAGATATGTCTGTTTCTTCATGCATGGCAACCACAGCACTAGTATCTCTGCCACTCTCTAGTGAGTGGATTGCTGACTAGGAAATGGTACTCAAGCACCTGTACAAAACTTTGGCCCAAGCATGTGCAAAGTATGCATATAAGGCCACCAGCAGAGACCACAACTTCAGTGAACCAAAGGGCTTCATTGGCTGGGGGGTAGCTTTATCTCCTGCCTGGGACCACACTCCAAAGGTGTAGCAACACTTGTGATTGAGGGAGTTTGTCATTATCCACCTATAGAATACTTCATCAAAGTACTATATGTATAGACACCTTCCCCATGTTGTGAGACCTTAAGTAAATGCCTTTCCTAAAGAAAACCCAAGAAGAACTCTTGGTTTCTCAATAGGAAGCAAATTCTCCTTCTCATGAGGGACTGATATTCTTTTCAATAGAGGATATATTGTGGGAGGGTGAAGCATGTCCACTTGGCTATGGTGGATAGTGTGGACAAAGGTGTTGTGGAGAGGATCTTAATCTTTGTGGACCTGGCCACATTGTCGAGTTACTTTGGCATTTGCAAGTCATGGAACTCCATTATCAACTCTCACACCTTTTGCCACCTATGGTGCCCCAACACTGGTGTCATAGAGGTCCCTTGGATCATGATGAAAGTTCTAGTGTGTTATTGTTCCATTTGTACCTAGTTTAAGTGCTCAATAAACTTTGCTCAAACCACTAGAAGAATGTTTGTCAAATATTGATCCCATAACTTAGCATCAGCAACTTGTAATAATTATGAAAGTAAACTCAATTTTGTTTGCAATATCAAATTATGACTATGACATATATATATATTAGAGAGATGGCAAATAATCATTTTAATCTGAATGTTAAAAGTTCACATAAATATATACACACAAACTACTAACAACTTGTCAATATGAAACACTAGTTATTTTAGCACAGACCTCTTGGCTAAGGATATAGGCTGAGGTCAGCATGTTAGTGTTGGCTTTGTGTTTTGCATCTGAAAACAATTCAAAAGATTAAAAACATAATGAATTTGGGACAACTCCATAACACTATTGTGATGACTAATCTTGATATCTAGGCCATACTTGATTGGTCCAAAATGGAGTATATTAAACCTTGAAGACAACTGCTCCTTCACAAAAGTTGAAGTGTGTGTGTTCTCAGTGATGATGAGTGTGTCATTGATATGAGCACTATCCATTAGTTTCACCAAGAATGATGCAGATCTAGAGTCCATCTTCACTGTCAATATATAGTACTTCTAGTTGCCGGTTTCTTGCAGGGATTGTTGCATGAGGAACACTGAGTCTTTCATATGTCGAGCTAATGCCACCATTTCATCTGTTAAATCGTCCTAGAGTCGCCTGAGCAAGAGAAAGACATGAAAGTATGCTTTTCAATGAATTCGTGAGTAGCGCTGTCGAGTTTCACTTCTTCTTTTGAAGTACCAGGCTCGGGATTCGTGATGCTGGATGCTGCTTGGTAGAAAGAAAAACAAGAATAGACGTGATAACCAGAGAAAAATTTACTGTCTCTTTTGAAGATTGCACTCTGGAATTGGAGTTTCGGCAGGAGCCGCCGAGAATTCATCCTCGAAATCATGGAAGGTTTGAACGCATATCTGCGTGGTCTTTTCATGGTTTGAAAGAGAAAAAACAAAAAGGAAAAACGTTTCTTGCAGCTAGCTTACCATCTGTGTGATGTTGATCTTCTCGGCAGACGCTTCAATCTGTCCCCCATACTCTCGGGTGAAATGCTGCCATGGATGGAAGAAAACTTGAATGCTTTTTGGAGAACTAAGATCCACCTGGGAAGATTTTGACGAGCGTTATCTCCCGTGAGAACAATGAAGAGCTCTCTAGTGTTCTCTCCCGTAACAGTGAGGAACTCCAATTTTTGCAAAAGCTATGGTTTCTTGGTATTCTTTTTCTTTGTTTTGTTTTTATTTGAACTTTTACCTGCGTGACTCACCACTACCAAACCCTAGAAATATATCTCGTCACAGCTCGAATGACTGCCGGACCGAGGAGTCCACCAAATGTAGCTTCTTTCCAGGACTTCCAGGAGCGCTGTGATCTTCTTGAAAAATCATAGCAAGCATGTCCGAAGAGGAGGCAAATGGAAAATGAAAGTTTGCTATTGTAGCTATTGTTTATATGGCATCAATAACTTTGCGTGAGAGGATGGACGAATAACAGCAAACCTTCTTGCAGGAAGTACGCACGCACGCACAGGTGTCGAATGGCCCCTTCGTACTAACGTATCTGTGGCACAGCTTCCCTCGATTGTTTGGCAGTTTTATTCCGTGCAACCTCTTATCATTTTGGCATACTTGAGAAAGAGGTAACGAGACGAAAACTTCAGATATTTTCGAGCTCACTTAGGCCTTTCTTATACAGAGGTCGTGTCGATTTGTGTGGATGTGTCCATGGAAAAGAAAAAAATCTTGGCTGAACTCTCAAAGAAAGCTCATTTGAGAGCCTTAGAAAACAGAGCAAGCAGCAAGTACTAACGAGTGTTGCCTTTGAAAAAGAGAACTCTAGTGGCGCCGTTTTATTGTAAGAGCTTCTTTGCTCTTCACTCTTATAGCTCTTCACTCAGACAAGTGGTGCAGCCATTTCGCTGGACAGCTTGAGAACCTCAGTGAGATCCACGGGATGGAGCGAGTCTGCCTGGAACTCGAACTGTTGAACCAATCGAGCCGTCCAGAGGAGAACAGTCGCAAGGCCGAGAGCTCGTCCGGGACACACCCGACGACCAGCTCCGAATGGAGCGAGACGTAAGTCGCTTCCTTTGACATCGATGTCCTGCTCAAGAAATCTCTCCGGGTTGAATTTCTCAGGCTCGGACCAGATGGAAGGATCGTGAGTGATGGACCACATGTTTACCATGGCCGTGGTGCCTACAGGGACGTGGTGACCGGCCAAGGTTACGTCGTGAATCGCAAGCGGAGCCCAAGAGAGCAAGGGACCCGGAGGATGCATCCGAAGAGTCTCCTTTACAACGGCTTGGAGGTACACCATCAGACTCGGCAACTTCGGATTTTCCTCCAACTACGCTAGCGATCTCCTCACGCAACTTCTCTGGATTTCAGGATGGAGGACGAGCTCCGCGAGAATCCACTCGGTGAGAGCGAAACGGTGTCAGTGCCTTCCTGTGAAGACAGCATGGAAAACAACGTAAGTCATTAGATAGGCTAGAAGCAGTCGTAAAAACATCTTCGTTTTTTACCCAGAGAACTGCGATCATGTCGGCGTCGTCGAGCTTGTCCTCGCCATCCAGCGAGAGCAGCACATCCACAAAGTCGGGCTGTGCAGCTTTACTATCCTGTTGCCGATGATCATCAATAATCTTCTGGACAAAGCTTGTCACCCGAGGAACCAGCACGGCACAGCGTTGGAGGATGTTCTGGGGATCGACTGCCTTTAGAGCTGGCAAGTGATCGGCCCAGTTGAACGCACCCAGCAGCTCGAAGCCTTCCCTCACCATCTCCGTAAGCTTAGCAGCGTCCTCGGATCCATCCTCGAATCTTCTCCCAAACACCGTCTGCATGATATTGTTGAGCGAAGCCCGCTGGAGGAAGTCCCGAACTCGGACGAGGCCATGGTCTGCTGCAAAGGTACTTATTGCTTTAATCATCCTGCTCGTCTCCGCCTGACGAGATGGCTCGTGAGCAGCAATCTGGCCTGGAGAAAAGAGATAGTTGGAGGCAATCCTTCGTAAGTTACGCCAGTACTCTCCATAGGGAGTGAAGCCGATTGCTCGTCCAAACAGGAGCTGCTGAGCCGACTGTTAGGGGCCTTTCCGCAACTCGGAGCTGTTGAGCAGCTCTCGTGCCACTTCCGGCTTGCTGGTGATGATCATCCTCGTGTTACCCAGGCTGAAGGCCATGAGCTCCTTTGCATGGTACTTCTCAGCAAGCTTGGCCAACTTTCGGTGGGCTTGGCTTCCCATCTCCGTCAGGACTCCAAGCACTGGCCATCCTCGGGGTCCTGCGATCGTCTGCTTCTTCCTCAGCGTTCTCCCCCATGCATGGCCACCGGGAACAAGCCAAGCTGCCAGGATCACCGAGATAGCTGCTAGAACGAGCACGGCCACAGCAGCAGCGATGAATCTCCATGCATCCGCGGAGAAATGGCGCGAGAAAAAAGGCAGAGTGAGAATCCACCAGTCGACCCCAGAGGACGAGTCCATGATCGAGAAGCGAGACAAGCGCGAGACTTTGGACCAAGAGAAAGAGCTCGAGAGAGGCAGTGCTCTTGGTTGCGGTGGTGGCTTCGCTTTTTATACTGGCAACAGCAAGATTATCCATAGCTGCATGTCTGGAGAAACTATTGGCCGAGAAGGAGAACGCTCGAGATGGTAAGTCTCCAAGGTTAAGTAGCTTCTAGTTTCCCTCGGTTTTTTTACTGTTGTTGTAAAAGATGTGTTTTCTTTTTTGCAAATTCTAGGCATTATCGGACTAGTGACTCGAGTGAAACCATCGCTTCGACTCGTGAATACTCGCTTATGGTGCTTTTAATCTCCAAGGTTCTGATTGCTTACTCGGATTTTATAGTTCTAAAAACAGTTCTTCTGTTTCAAGCATTATCACATGAATCACACTGGGAAATGGCTTCCACTCGTGAAGTTAGTGAATGTGATTAAATGGTGCTTTTAATCTCCAGGGTAAGTAGCTTCTATACTCGTTCTAAAAATGTGTGTAATTATCGCATGAATCACACCAGTGACTCGAGTGAGACCATACTCGTGAATTTGGGCCTTTAATCTCCAAGGTAAGTAGCATACTACACTCGTTCTAAAAGTTCTAAAACATGTGCGTGTGTTTTTTTAGTGACTCGAATCTTCTACTCGAACGTGATTAAATGGTGCTTTTAAAGTAAGTAGCTTCTCGGATTTTTTACTGCACTCGTTCTGTTTTTATTTTCTTTTTTTTGTAGATTAGTGACTGTGATTTGCTCTTAATGAGGTTGGAAGATTTTTAAACTAGTAACGTCGCGCGTTTTTGAATTTTAGGGCAATAGTATCTTGGTTCGATTCCCGTTCGACAGGCGCATCGCACGGCCCTGGCAGCGCCACGTGGCCAATCTCTTTCCATACAGATATGTATATAAAGGCCACGATAGCCATGGCCAGAGTTTAGGGTAATTGTTTTGGCGATGGCGAGGGCGCAAAGGTAGGATCTCTTCCGGTCTTGCGAATCTCTTTTCCCGATCGATCGCGCAGAAATATGTGCCCTCCATGCGAAGCGTCCGGGGACTGTGGCGGCGGCGCCAGCGGCGGTGCTGGATTGAAGCGGAATCTAGAGCGCCGCGGGGCAGCGCCAGAGGAATTGGTTCCAGCCGGTTCTCTTCCAAGTCGGTTTGCGAGGATGGATCGAAAAGTGGCGATCATGGGTGTGAGGCCGACAGCTCGCTACAGGCGATCTAGCGCTGGGGCTGGAGCATCGGGCTCGGCTCAATCGCCGATTGTTTTAGGGGGTGGGGCTGGCCACGCAGCAGGGCCGGAGATTATCGATCTGGAAGCCGAGGTTGGTTCTCCAGGGATAGGAGGAGCTTCTCATTCTTTCCTTGACGGGGAGGGTTCTAGCCAACCTTTGCCGAAGCGACAAAGAAGCTTGAGGGCTGATGGCTCTCCAGCTGCTGTTACTCCTGCGGCTGGAAGACTTGGAAGAGGAAGAGCTCATGGAGCAGCAACTTGGGGTAGAGGACCAAGGCAGCATCAAGCACCGGGTGGTAGAGGCGTGGTGAGGCCGATTGATGTGGATAGTGTTGTGGAGGTGGAGGCGCGAGCTTTACAGGTGAGTGAAGACGAGAGGCTTGCGAGAGAGCTGCAAGAGGAGTTCTCCACTGCCGGGGTACGTTCCTTTTGCTTTTCTGTCTAGAGTTCATGTCTTTTGTTCTTCTTTTCTGAAGCAGAGAGATGCTAATTTGGCTAGGAGTTTGCAAGAGCAAGAACAGCGCCAGCAGCTTCGTCACGCTATGGGCCATGGAAATGCTGAGCGGTTGTATTACAGGCGGCTGGAATCGGTGCATGCGAGGATCCAGCAGGCGTTGGAGAACAGGCAGCGTAGCGGACTGCCAGGCAGATTCCGCGGTTTAGAAGAGGTATGCTTTTTTCACGAGTTTTACAAGTTTGTTTGCATACTTATCTTTCTTTTCGACCAGCGCTTGAATGAATTTGGAGCTATGCTGCGTAGGAGTATACCCCTTGCCATGCAATTGGCTTATGTTGACCGCGACTTCAACGAGTAAGCTTCTGTGTTTTCCGTGAAAGCTTCCGTGATCTTGACTGGAGACTTTTTGCCTTTTCTCGCTGCGGCAGGAATGATTACGAAACGCTTTTAGCTTTGGACGAAGGTGTGAAGCAGCGAGGAGCTTCTCAGGCCCGGATTGACGCTCTTCCAGTTTCGGAGGCAGTGGTATGATTATCTAGCTTCCTTTTGCCTTTGTTTCCATTTTCTAGTTTCTTACGGACAAGGATCGACAGGAAACGGATAAAAGCGAGCCATGCTCGATTTGCCTCGAGGTTCCAGTAGGCGGAGAGGAGATCCGCCGCCTCCCATGCTTGCATGGCTTCCATAAAGAGGTAAAAGAGACGCTGGTCCATCCATCTCTTTCGCCTCGTTATCTGACCAGTGTCTGCTTGGCTTGCAGTGCATTGATACTTGGCTCCAACGGCGTGCAAACTGTCCGGTGTGTAAGGCTTCGGTCTAAAGTCCCAAATCTCGTCCATGGCCAAGGCAGTGAAAGGAGACAAGCAATGCACGTAAGTACTCTTGTGTTTTTAGCTACGTAGCCAGTTTCGCTCAAGTTCCTGTCGTGCAAATCGCAGAGGTAGCGGCCTTCGCTTCCGTATGTACTCGCATTCAAGTGGAAAAGAAGCTCGAGAATTTCTACTTCTTGGGCTTTGGATCGTCCGCTGGATGGAAGTGGTTTCCTCTCAAATCGAGCTTGCGAGAGTACAAACTAGAGAAGGAGCAGTAAAAGAGCCTGTGAGAGGTACGCGATTGGATTCAAAGCTCCTACACTTATAGATCTTCTCCTTGGAGAAAAAAAAAATACAAAGGTTGATCTTTCGAACTGACTGCCAGTACTTCGTACGTAGGGAGTTCATGCACTTTGCGATGTATTTTGACTTGGCTTTTACGGTTTTTACCTGTGGTTGTTACCGAAGGTAAAGTGTGCATTACCGTTCGTACAGTTTTACTGTATCGTACGGGAATGATTAAGAATGATGAAACCCTATTCTTCGTCCTGTCGATGGGTTTTGGATGTTGGCATTTGCCAGGAGAAGGAATTCCAAATCTCTGAGAAAAGCAAAGAGATATCATACCAACAATTCTTTATTTTTTCAATGTGGATCTTGGGACACACAAATCAATCAGCCTAGCAAAGCAAGAGATGGATCAAATCGATCAAATTGGGAAGAATGCGCGACCTGGATCAAGTTGGGAAGAGGAAGAACTGGATCATTACAGACTCCAGGGGGGGTCCTCCAAATTGGCGAAGCTCCCGAGCTGCGAGGCTTCGTGCGCCAGTGGAATCGGCCACACCTAGAAGACGAAGAACGCAAACTCATTACTGTACTGTTCCAAATCTTTTTTAAAGGAGGGAATATGCCTAAGGCATATCCCTCCTTCGTCTTCCTTACGAGAGTGTAAGCCCGCGACTCGAGAGGCTCCAGCGTCACGCCGCGCTCGTTGGTGGGAACGATTCGCCCAAGCGCTGGATCGAAGAGCGCCGCGCCGTCGCCAAAGTGGCCCACGAGATCGAAGGGCGATTTGTCGTCGATGATAGAAACCACTCCCCCGTCAATCACGATCTGGGCAGCAGCATACGACTGCGCGGCGGGATGGTGCAATTGCTCCGACCCTGCACAGAAAAAAATGGCTGGCCCGTTTAGGAGAGGAAAAGAAAGGAAGCAAAGATCTTGCCCAGTCCAGTCTAGCTAGGAGTATACGGCACTGCTCGCTCTGGGACTTGTCTATCTATCTATCAGGACGAGAAGAAACAAGGAAGAAGAAAACCTCTCATTTTTCTCGTTCTTCTCTTTTTTTGTTCGCACCCAGGAGGACGAAAATGAAAGACCGATGGGATTGATCGAAAGAGATGGAGAAAGAAAGAGAGAGAGAGGGAGAGGGAGCAGTAGTGTCGCTCATTGATTTACCGGATGAAGCTGAAGCGGAAGCGCTAGGGGCGGAGGAGGACAAATCCTGCTGGAAAGCGGCGGTGGCACTGGCGGCGGCGGGAGAAGAAGAGGCGGAGGCGCCAGAGACGGCGTTGGCCTCCTCGATGCGGCGCCGCTTGCGTTTCTCGCGGGACTTCTTGTTCTGAAACCAATAGTACACTTTGGATTCGTCCACCGGGCCGTGGTGGCCGATGAGCTCGGCTATCTCCGTGACGTTTTCTTGCGATGGCGGCGTCCCTTTCGCGTAGAATTCCTCCAGGATGGCCAGCTGCTGACTGTTTGGCCGCCACCGCTGCTGCGCGGGCCTTGTCGGCGCTGGCGGCGCTGGCACGGATGAGATTTCGATGTGTTTCCTGCGACCTTGCAGAAGAACAAATGGGTAGTCAGTGCTTGCAAGCAGCAAAACGACGGCAAAACGAAAACAAAACGGTCGAGAGAAATATATATACTTCTGTGATGCATATGCAATGCCTTTAGCTCCAGGAGCTCTGTGTTGATATCCCGCTCCTGATCGATCTGATCAGACTCGGACGACGCCGGCGATGAAGCCGCCTGCTGCTCGCACCGCCTCATTCTTCCGGGGATCGATCGATCTAGTGAAGAACAACCGAAAGAAAAGAGAGGAGGGATCGAGTTGCTCCCACAGGGAGCTGGAGATATGGAGGAGAAAAGAAGAGAGCGCCGGGTCGTGTTGTGTTTCCACCTGATCTTTGGGGTTGACGACGTAATCACTGCGTCAGGTATATTCCTTCGCACTTACCATTTTTACTTACTTTGTGACGCCAGTAAATACGTTCCCACAAATCAATACTTACTGCCCGCGCTGCGGCCTACATTCCCTTGTGCGTATTTTAATACGTATCCAGAGAAATTCTCTCCCACCCGGTATGTATTTGGTAAGTTTTTCTGTACTTTTGCGGGCCGAGTAAAAACCGTCAACGACAACCTTCGGAGGGTTAAGATAATCAAGCAACGTCACAACTTTAAAATTCACGCAGCATTAGCATGCTATCTTAATGTGAAGATAAATCACAATCTCTTATCTACTCGTCTCAAATCTTTTTCTTTTCTATACAAGAAAATCTTCTGTGTTCTTCTTCTTCTTCTTCTTCTGAAATTCTTCTTGTTTTTATATTGTTTTCCTCTTCTCCAATGTTGAGAAAGATTTGGATTGGGATTTGAGATGCTAGCAGCAGCTGCAGCCTTGCATTGTTGCAGGGGGGGCACTGAAGCGTGATTGGGTGTGATGAGATTTTCAAGAGCAGTATCTAGAGAGCATTAGATGTGGCTTCCTTGTCTATCATGAATCTGGGGCTTCAAGATTTCTTGAGAAATGCATTGGAATTTAAGGATCACATGAAACCTGCAGGAGCAGATAGAACCACCACCCAAACAAAATTATGCTAAGAAAAAAGATGCCAATCGGATTCGAACCAGAAGAAAAAACTACTGTTCTCTCTTTTGTTTTACTCTCACTCCCAATCTCTCTCTTCTATTTCATCCTATGTTGGGCTCAGTGCGGGCTCGTCACGAACATTTGCGGCAGGCAGCGTGTAATCGTCATCCTGTTCTGAAAGGCCTCGACGCCTGCAGATTGGGCTTGCGTCGAATGGCTCACATCCGCTCTCGAACGGAATACTAGACAGATTCTAGGGATTATTCGTGTTAAAAAATACTCATGCTTGGAAACTCGCCTCTATCTTAGAGCTTTGAAATGGAGACAAACTCACCTCCTGCTCTTCGAATCTCTGTGATGGCAAAGAGCTCGTCTCGTCATTTGAAAAGATCACATCTTCCAGCTCTACAAGGATCACGATGGATATTTCATGCTTAGAGTGATTTTAGTACCTTTAAAAGCAAGCCCCCCGTGATCATTTTCCAGGAATCTGGATTCGCAGCTCTGTACCACCAAGCCCGCAGTTGTAATCAAAGAGAGGAGCAGCAACGCGAAGCGGAACTTGCCCATGGATCCGAGCGCAGCCTGAGCGAATGGTCACCGGGCCGACGTTAAATCAATGTGTGATATAAAATAATACTATTTTAACGACCAGAATTCTACGCGCACATCGTCGAAGTGGTTCCTAACATGCACGAAGTTGCAAAAAGTCAAACCCGGCCGCACCAACTTACGCTTTCGATCACATGCCTGCCTGTCAATGCGCTGACCAGATTTTATAAGAGACCCCCTGATTAAAGAGTTGTAGTGGAAAAAAAAAAACCTTTCTGGGATAAACCCTAAACTGTGTATTTTATTGATTATTCCTCTCTCTTATGGAACTGTGTAGCCATCCATCTCAAAGTCCACAATGATTCCACGTCCTCGGCGGACGCCACAGTCGCAACAACGCCTTCCTCTTTGACGTGCTCCAAATGACCGCGAACGCTTTGAAATCTGAGTAAAGATCAGTGATACGCGATAGATCCCTTGAACAGCTTGCGTTCTTCCTCTGTGATTCCTAGCATGTAGCAGGCGGAGAATGTACTGGAATGGACGAAAGAGGGCGCAGATACCATTGTATCTGGAAGCTGACAAAATCAATGATGGCTTTGGTACCGTCCAGTTCAAGCTCTCTCATGAACTGGACTTGTTGTCGACGGTCTTACCAGGTTCGGGTCTCAATACGCCTGAGTGAAAGACAGACCGTGAGAAACTGCTAAACGCGGTGTCTCGAGCTTTAGCAGAGACGTCGCAAGTCCAACTGCTCGCTCGAGCCCAAACGTTGTTCTCCGACGAATTCACCTCCATTTTCCGGAAGCCTCCGTCGCCACCACTCACAAACCGACCCAACAGCGCCAGGAACGTTCATGGCTTCCAGCGGTGACGCGCATCCTCTGTATGCTTTTATGATAATTCACTTAAATCGTTCCTTGTGTTCGTTCGCATCTGACCACATACATGAGTAGTGCCTATAACTGCTACTAGTAAAGAGATCTTGGGCTTCACCCGCGAACCGAATTTAGGTTTGGCGACACGTTACTAGCAACGATTGGCTGGACATTCAAATGGCGCATTTGAATATCTATCGTCGGTAAGAGAAAATGAAGCCTGTGGGGTGCCGTCCCTAGCATTAGACGATCGATTGAGCCGAGAGCTAACACACTGTCTCCAGATCCTTGTCTGAAGAAGCCAGTTCATAGACACCATAGACGTGCCAGCTCTTACCCTGAGAAAAGGAAAGATATCATACCTCAAAACACTTCTTTATTTTTCGGCACACAAATCATTCAACTGGAAGAGAATGGATCAGTAGAAATTCTTCCAGGGCTGGTCTTCCAGATCCAGATTGCTCCCGTGAGATCGGCAAAGTGAAAAAGAAAAAACCAGAGGAGTGAATATTCCTTGCTAGCGAAGGCATATCCCTCCTTCGTCTTGGGGAGAGATCGCCATCACCATCCCTTTTCCTCTTTAGAAGAGGGATTGAAGAAAGCTCTCTATCTTGTGTGTTCTAGGTACAGAACCTTCAACTGATGCCGCTCGAGATCGTGAACAGACTAGCCGGCGATATCCTCGATGGATCGATCGACAGCCGAAAGAAAAGAGAGGAGGAGCTCGGGAATGAAGAATTGCGGTCTTACCATTTTTACATGAGACGATAGTAAATACGCCCCGCTGCCGCCAACATTCCCCTGTGGGTATCTTAATACGTAGCTTGTGACTAGATAATAGCGGCTCCCTTCTCGCACAAACTTTCAAAGCCTTACCACATGCATGTCCCATAAACTAGAAATTGAACGCGCACCACCCGTCGCACGCCATAACATACACATACGTTTCGATTTGAAAGAGCCGTCAAAATCTAGCGGCGTGGCAGCAAATCAAAGTTTAGTTTTTGTATAATTTACTTTTCTCGTTGTACCTGGGATCATCGAGAACAAAGTCAGCAAGTTTCTAAGATCTTAGATTTCTTGCTTTACTGCTCGACTGCAGTGTGGAGCTGGCCCAGGATGAATCCACACTCTTATTTCAGATGTTTAGAGCGACAGAAACCCTAAACCGTTGACCAGGATATTCGCTCTTTATTCCTTTCTTATAACAAAACTGGCGCGCGTGTGTGTGTGTGTGTGTGTCTTGTTTGTTTACAGGCTGACTTTCTTCGGCTGGAGGAGGCCTGGCCGCTCCTTGTTCGCGGATTCCACGTCCTCGGCGGACGCTACAGCCGCGACAATGCCCTTCTCTTTGACGTGCTCAAGCACGTCCGCGAACGCTTTGAAATCTCTGAGGCTGCCAGCACAAAAGCGAGGAAGAGTAAAGATCTATCAAACCAGTGGTGATTGGAGTGACAACGCACCTTGTTGATAGGATTTGCTCCCTTCGCAGCTTGCGTTCTTCCTCTGTGATTCCTAGAATGTAGCGGAGCATACTGGAATGGACGAGAGGAGGTAAGGAAATGCCAAAAGGGATGTAGATTTGTGCAGCGTACCTCGAGTAACCCTTTGCATCTGGAAGCTGATACGAATCAACATCTCCAATGGTGCCAATGATAGCTTTGGTGAGCGCGTCATCGTCCAGTTCAAGCTCTCTCAGGAACTGGACGGTTAAGTCGTAGTTGTCGATGGTCTTTGCCAGATTCGGGTCTCGGTAGGACAAGTATGTAAATACGCCTGAGAGAGACAGACAGAGATGTGACTGTGAGAAACTACTAGACGGTGAATTACCCGAATGAGAATCGAAGTCGCAGAAGCCTCCGTAAGCGCCACCACTCACACGCACTCGATCCCACAGCCACGTGTTGCCAATGTACTTGGAAATAACATACGCGCTTCCATCGAGCTCATATCCTGTATCGTACAAATTTGCTGCTTTACCAACGTAGTTCACCTGTGGGGAAAAAAAATCCAAAGTTACAAAAGGGAACGAGAGATTCTTCTCTTACCTGTGTGGGAACAATAATGCCTTCATTGCATGGTTGAAGAATACCATTCCACGTGCAAACAACTGGCTCGGTTTCAGGCAGGGCTTCGAGTAGAGAACTGACAAAACTGTCTGCTTTAGTCAAATTCTTCTCATCTGCTGTCAAGTTCACGATGGCCCCTTTCCGAGACAGAAAACTCGTCCGAATTCTTTCCAGATTCTGTTGCACTGCGGGCCAGTCGGTGTCCACTTGCTTCTCTAATTCGCGCAGATAGTCTAGATAACTGTACAGACGGTACTTAGAGGATAATTAAAGCGGTGTTATAAGTACCTGAGACCACCCATTTTCTCTCCAACAGCGCCAGGAATGTTCAGCATTGCGTCCAGCCGTGACGCCACAATTCTGTGGCCAGCACCTCTAAGGCGGCTCTGTAATGTTTTATGATAATTGTCAGCGAGATAAATGGTGCCGGCAACTTTACCTCCATGCCTGACTTGCTCTGGGACACAAACTGCTTAAATCGTTCCTTGTCAGTAAATTGTACGTCTTGAAGGATTGTTCGCATCTGATCACATACATGACATGTAAGAGTAGTGCCCACGAATGCTAAAATACATACCAGACTAAAGAGATCTTGCGCCTGTGAAGCCATGGCTTTACCACGAATAATCATTTTGCTTGATGGTTCTTTTTTCCCGCGAACCGAGGACGTCGAAGGATAGACAGAAATGCCTCCTGTCTTTCGACCAATAAGCAGGTTTAGCGACACAAAATCCATGTCTTTTGTTCCCATCTCGAGCAAAGATTGGCTGGACATTTAAACGGCCCACTAAATATCGTCGATAAGAGGAACAGAAGTAGTACTGACCAGAAAAGCGGAACCAGGGGCAAAAGCTCAGAAGGAACAGTGCGCAGCTCAAAAGCAACTTCTGCATATAAGACATCATTGGTAAAGATATCATGACGTAACATAGTCGCGCCGTGCATTTCACCGATCTGATCAATCAGGCATTAGACGATGAGGAACGCTAATTATTGAACTTACAGCAATTGGAACGTGAATAGGCTCTTTTGGAATATCAGACAGTGACAGAGATGGTACTGCTTTTAATGCCTCAGGAGGATCAGGCGTTTCTTGGCGCTTCTTTAGCTCCTCGGTTGCTCGAGCAAGTTCCTCAAGCTCTTGTTTTGCCAGGCTTGCTTTCACCTTCGCCAGTCTTTCCTTCTCCAAGGCTTCAATTTCTGCTGATTTTTCAGCATCCGGCTGAGCAACACCACTTCCAAATCAGTACGAAGGGCCTTTTTCATGTAAGACCGTACCTGGAGCTCAACAGTCACAAGATGCTTGTTGCTAAGAAGGAAGTTCTGTATAAGTGGTGAGAAAACTGCCTTAGCACCCTCCGTCGCTATTTTGGCCTTCAAATCTTCTAATGGCTTGGCGAATCTTAAAGGTTCAAATGGATCACGACCATACAGCCATTTACCCTGTAAGAAGTGTCAGAAGAGCATGCATTAAATACCAAAATGTCTAAAATACTCACCATCGACCTCAGCATGAGAGATAGTCCGCGTGGGAACGATCCAGTGTTGTTCTCTCTTAGTGCAAACTCGATTGTGTTCATAGAAGCCTCGACAGCTTCAGACGTGAAACCTTCATCAGCCAGCTTTTGTAATGTAGATACGATCAATTCCTCAACTGCTGGGATATCACTTTCGGCGACGCCTTTCATGCCGATACTAAATTGCGGTTGAAGGAGGTCATCTTCTACTCCGCTTGAAGTAAGAGCCTCTCCCAGGTGACTTTCAAGCAACGTCTTTCTTAGAGGTGCTGCTGGCGTCCCTAGCACTAGATGATCTAGAAAGCCGAGAGCTAGCTCAGTCTCCAGATCCAATGGCTTGTCTGAAAGAAGCCAGTTCATAGAGACCATATGCTTTTTGGACGTGTCAGTCTCCTCTCCTACTGCATATTTCTCTTTAATCTTCTTTGGCTCAGAGAGAAGACTTTGAGGTTTAACTTCGGATTCTGCTGCTGAGTTGTTGGCTTCAAAATTAGATAGATAGGCTGCTCCTCACACGGATCAGTAAATGCACGAACCATAAACTTAACACACTGACCATTCACGATTCGAAGTCGTTCAGTTGGATCATCGTCCCCATAAAACCATATCCTCGCATTACTGGGATGATAGAACTTTCTATGGAACTCCTGTTAATCATTGTAAATTCGTCACATAACAATCATGAGAGAGAGAGCGAGAATACCTGAAACTCTTCAAACGTTAGATCAGGAATCACAGATGGATCTCCACCACTGTCCACATTATACGCATTATTAGGAAATAATTCCTTCAATGAAAGAAAATGAAAGAATGAATTTTTAAAAATATCAAACTTAAAAAGCGGCTCATACCTGCTGGCAAATTCGGCCAAGAACACTATCTGGTTGCGAATAAACACCTTTCATTTCGTTGAACACAACACCTGCGTGTAACACCATAGACACCAGTCAACAAGGAGTTTCGAAGTGACAAATAACTTGCCTTTGTATGTGAGGTCTTCAGACGAATCGTTAACTTCGTAATGCCAACCTTCCTGTTGAAAGATTTGCGGGTCGCTTACGCAACGAGGATGAAAAACAGCGTCCAAATAAACATCCACTAGGTTGTAAAAATCCTGCAAGGAAGTGGAAAACTCAATCCATCAACAAATAACTGGAAAATCAATCACTAACCTTTAAGTTTGTGGAAGCCACAGGATAGCAAGTCCGGTCGGGATACGTGAACGCATTCAGAAACGTATGCAAGCTTCCCTTGAGCAGCTCAACAAATGGCTCTTTGAGAGGATATTTTCTGGAGCCACAAAGAACGCTGTGCTCGAGAATGTGTGGAATTCCTTTGGAGTCTTTGCTGCACATAGAAACCAAAAAACAAAGGCAAAGAAATGAGGGTGAGAAGGATGAAACTCATATATTCCTTACGGTGGTGTTCTAAACACGATTCCAAAGACCTTGTTCTCGTCCTCGTTCACGACCGACATGACCTCCGCCCCAGTCTTCTTGTGTCGATAGAGCACAGCAGTAGATTTGTACTCGGAAATAAACTCTTCCCTCACTTCCTCAAATCCCAGCTCCTTGACAACGTCCGGATTGGCTCCTGGAAGAACGAGCGATTCAATTCAATCCCATCCAATCACTCTCATCGATATTACGAGGATTTCTTACCAATCTTCGGCGCTGGAGCAGCGACCGCGGCTTGGGGAGCGTTGCAAAGCTTCCTCCTCGACACGGAGAGAGACGCTCCAAATGCGTCGCCCGGCGATGGAGCTCGACGCGAGACGCGGCTGAAGCAAGCGAGCTGATTCCTGTGATGAGGGAAGCGCCTGAGAATCCCTGGCGAGCAGCGATTGCCGACGTTGAGCACTGATGCGAGCTCCATTGCCTTGAATCCTCCTGCTCCACGCCTTCGCAGCACGGCGCGAGATAGCATCACACTGGAGCTCGATCGATGGGAAAGACGAAGAGAAGGCGCTGGAATATCAGCGCATTGTGATGCTCGCTTGAGCCCTAGAAATATTTAGCATCAACAAGTATCTGTACGAAAGAGAATATACGTTACTATGTACGGCATGCTCTTCTTTTAGGGTTTATCATCGATTCATTCAAACAGGGGCAATGGCGCACGCATTCTCTGGCAATCCAGTGATTCCTGGTAAGCAAGCCGGACCGGCCGCCGAGGCGATTCTCGCTCGCCTTGCGGCGGAAAGCTCTCCCTCGCTGCAAATTCTTCCTTTCTTTCAAGGGAAGGCGCTGGTGGTAGCATTCGAATCGGGGAAATGGAGGCTGTCTTGGCAAGGGATCGAGGGGATTGCTCAATCGGGGATTGTGGAGGAGATTTCCAAGAACATGGTGTATCTAGGGGAGAAAGAGGGTCTAGTTTACTGTGCAATCGATGCTACGCCGCGACAACCCAGGGATTCTAGCAATGGCCGAGCCATTGCCGCGAGGTTTGAGAAGAATGGAGGCGGCGAGGCGGGATTCGTGGACCTGAGGACGCTGATGATCGCGGCGGAGTGGACGGACGAAGAAATCATGGGAGAGCTCTCTATCGCCGGACATGTGTGTGAGTTTTCTCTTTTCCTTGGACGACTTCTTCTCTAAGTTTGTTCTTTCTTTTCTCTTTAGGCGAGAGCGTTGCTCGAGTGGCATCGTCAAGTCCAATTTTGCGGGCGATGTGGAACGATAACTCATCTGTGCGATGCCGGCCAGAGACGTCGGTGCTCGAGCATTGACTGCAACTACAAGCTATATCCTCGAATCGATCCAGTAAGTTTCTTCTGTGATTTTCTTCGCACAAAACAAGCAAAACTTCAAATATGTAGGTTGTGATCATGCTTGTCATTGATCCAGAAAGAGATAAAGCGTTGCTTGCTCATCAACCGAAGTATGTTTCTCGAATGTGGAGTTGTCTCGCTGGTTTCATCGAGGTAAGCTTCCATCTTTGTTCTATGAGATACATCAAAGATTGTTTTCAACTTGAGCTTTATAGCCAGGAGAAAGTCTGGAGGAGGCTGTAAGACGTGAAACTCGAGAGGAAACTGGCGTTGAAGTTGGCAACATCGTCTACCACAGTTCACAGCCTTGGCCAGGTTAGTTTCATTTTTCTCTGGCATTTCTTGACGATTTTTTCTTGCGAAAATCAATCAGTCGGGCCGGGCAATATGTCGTGCCAGCTGATGGTTGGATTTTTCGCGGTGGCGACAACGTTTGACATCCAAGTCGATAAGAAAGAACTCGAAGGTGTCTATCTAGACATACATCAGAAGTTTCTTAACTTTCTCATGCTTTGGCTCTTCACAGATGCACGCTGGCATTCCCGAGAAGACGTCCAAAAAGCACTGTCAAACGCAGATTATACACGCGCGCAAAAAGCAACTGGCATCAATGTTTACAAGACTTGCCTTGGCGAAGAGATGCCCGGAAGAAATTCTTCACCGATGAATATGGTAGCTGCCGGAGAAGGGATTTTTGTGCCTGGACCATATGCTATAGCGCATCACTTGATATCAACTTGGGCTTCTCAGGGCTCAACAGCATTGCTCAGCAAGATCTGAAAGACGCTGCAGTAGCAGGTACGCAAAAGTCTGTCCTTTCTTTTGGTCGTCACTACGAAGTACTGTTTATCAGGCCAGGCATTTTCGAAGTCTTAGAGATCACAGCAAGGCATTGCTTTGGAAATTCTGCGCAGTCGGGGCTTCCCTGCGGAATCCGCAAAGTTTCTATCGCTACTTCGTTATAAAAATCTCTCTTCCAATCCATCAGAGGCCATGGCACGTCACAAGTTTGTCTCTCTTTACTTGTGGTATTGATAGTCGCTACGCAGCTAGCGACATTACACCGTCTCCAGCTCCAGCTCCGGATAGTTGCTGGAAGAATGTGGAGACCAAAACCGGAGGGGCATACTCCGAGAGTTTGGTCTACGAATCCATGTATCGAGTGCCGGGCAACATGACGATCCAGCGCGAGAAACACTTTTGGAGTTTGAGCTGCTTCCATGACAAGGCAAAGTGTAGGAGGTGTGGTGGGGCTTCGGCGAGCGCAATCTTTCAGTCTCCAAAATCATTTTATTACCGAGGGAACTCTAGACCATTTCTTGCCTATTCCGATCCAGTTCGCGTGCATGGATCATGCTCCCGCCATCTACATCAGGAGCTGCTGGCGCAAGATCCTGGACAAGTTCTGTGAGTATTGCGTTCCACGACACTTCGTTGCCAGATCTCCTATTGCGTACTAGGAGTAGACATGGAGTTTTTCATTCGCCATGGAAGCTGGTTGATACAGGCTAGCCCTGGAAAGGAAGAAATTAAAGATCTTTAGTTTTGTCAAAAGAAACAAGGGAATTTTGTTCTCGCACGTTGATAATAGCGTCTTGAAGCTAGTCTTTATACTGAATAACATTTTTCTTCAAAAAGCTTTGAACTTCTCATCCTTGGCATATTGCTCATGGTCATGAAATGCCATGAAAAAGGTGCTGTCACAAGCAAAAGACTAAAACAAGAGTACTGAAGGGCTACGTACAAGTGATGACAATAACCTTATAACTCTATCACTATCCACCTGTGGAGTCTAAAGTGTGTTCTAATGGCATCAGACGACTGTGAGAGGCAATATGGTGTGGAGTACTCAAATAACATCTAAACCGTGAATGACTTGGTATTAAATCATTTTCCCAATTTTATGGTATGTGGTTTGTTTAAGGGGCTTTTTAGTGAAATTGACTATATCAACTGTTGCGGTAAGTTGGACGACAAGTTCAACATAACATTTGAAGCAATTGAATTACTATATATGCACAATTTTTGAAGGATCAGATAATTGTACAAAGAGATCAAGAATAATTGGCACCACTTACAGATTCACTAGTGCTTTCTTTTGATGTTCCTTCAGATCTTGGCTTAATTCTCTTTCATCCTTTAGAGAGGAGGGAGGTCTAGATATGTCATATACTATTATTAGTATAGTTGAATTTTGGTAGCTTCTATATAAGTTAAGGTTTTTGGGTATCCACATTTTCATATTCTATTTCCATATTCCATGCACTCACAATATTATATCTAAAATAACAATTGTTTTACAAAATAAAATAAATAATATAATGTATACATTTACAAATCACAAGTGCATAGTTGAGGTGGCTTTACATACCTTTTTATATACCATCATTGCCTATTAGCATATGGGAGTGTTTTCTTTGTGAAGCCTCAACCTCTATACTAAATCTGTAGTTGAGAAGGAGAGGAATAGGCCTTATGCCATCTTGAAATAAACACTATAGTAAACAAGTAAAAGATTGTAACATGAGATAACATTACTTAATGAGCATAACAATTCAATAAAAGAGTTTGATAGTGTAGCCTATATAAAATTGCATTCTCAAATGGCAAGGGATCAAGATAGCATGAGGCCTCATGCCATTTGTGACCATGGGTGACTACCAGCAATGGCATAAGCTCTCATGGCATCTTGGTCCTCTACCATTTTTAGATACCAAGGCCATTGCCGGCCACATGAGATTCAAGGAATAGAAGATAAAAATACCTTGTAGTATAGCAGAAGTGCTAGCAATCAAAAGCACTAGTAAGAGCAAGTGTTAGGAAATTGAAATGCAAGAGGAAGTGCCATTTACACAAACTCACATAAGTAAGTGCTACTTGCACAAACCCATAGCATGGCTAAAGCATCACCCACACAAACTTATAGTTTATAGAGGAAGTGCTACTCATATAAACTCAAGGCAAGTGAAAATGCCATTTGCTGAACCTAACTACCCTCCTATAAATACTATTATGAGTTGCTAATGCTAGATCCTAGGGTTTGTATTTAATAAGCATTCTTTAACTTGTCCAAGCAAAGTCTATTGGACACTTGGGCTGTGTATAAGTGGAACAACACTAGCTCCTAACATTGTCCACATGTGAAATACAAAGTGAATGACTTAGTGTTAGTCCATTTTCCGAATCTTACAGTACATGGTTTGTTTAAAAGGCTCTTTGCTTTGTGTAGGTGTTGCTGCAAATTGGACTACAAATTTATGAGGTTTAGCATAATGTTTAATATACCAATCATCCAAAAATTGTGCATATGCAACAATTGAAACACTTTGTACAAAAGGATAAAAAATAACTAACACCACTTATAGATCCATCGGTGCCTCCTCCTAATATTCCTCTAGATCCCAGCCCGATCCAAGTGCTCCACGTGTCCGATCCTATGATTGACACTAGGTGCCTTTGAAATATTAACCTGTTATACTAAGGCTATGTCCATTCACCTTTGGCTCGTAAGCACTCCAAGACCACCCATACCATCATCTCTTAAAAACTGGGCCATCTGTCCATAAGTGGTCATCCCATGACCACACCTTAGCATCTTTAGGATATCTGAAGAAATGGGGAAAACCCTTCCCCAATATCCCTTCTTCATTCCCCACTATATCCCTTTCCATCCATGACTGTGCTTGCCAACATTGCCACTGGGTTAGGGCTCGAAAGCTTGACTAGTAAGTCTCCCTGACTTTTGGGATTTCTTTGCCACGTGACTGTATCCTTGGTCACTACACAAGAGGACTATTCCTCTTTTTTTTCCATAGTTCAAGACTTTGGGATGACATTTCGAAACACTGGAGATCAACACAAGCCTCATAGATACTCTCCCCACCTTTTGCCTCTAGATGCCCTAGCCATGTAGCTAGAGTGAGGTTACAATGAGCCACACTAAGATGAGATGGACCCAATATAGGAGTTCCGAGATGGACCCGATATGGACCCGAGATGGAGTCCTGAGATGGACTCGAGATGAAGTCCAAGACAGAGTCTAAGATGGACCCGAGATAGAGTCTGAGATGAAGTCTGAGATGGAACCAAGACCAAAACCGAGACTGAGACTGAGACCGAGACCAAGTCCAAGTCCAAGACCGAGTTTGAGTTCGAGTCTGAGTCCAAGTCTGAATACTAATACAGGCTATTGGGTGAAAGCCCAAAGCGATCATACCCTAGGGGGTTCCAAAAGTATAATAG